ATAACCATGTAATTTTACATTTAATGTTAAAGCATCGAGTATATTAACATCAGACAATGATAGCTGTAAATTTGGATAAACATTAAAATAAACTGGACCATGAGCTAAGCTGGACTGTATTATGCCCATTATGGATTTTTTCCAATGTAAATTTCTACCATCACGTAAGGCAGCAACAAAAGATTCAGGTAAACCTTCTAAAGTTAAAGGTTTAAATGCAATTTGCACCAATCCAATATGCATGAAGTTGTAATTTTTATTAGATCTATAAAATTCAATATCTGTAGCAGACAAAAGTTGTAAAACCCTTTCATCAGAATTTAAAACAATTGATTGTTCAGTAGTTTTAACTACCTGTTTAACCAAGTATCGATGAAACATACCATATTCATACAAAGTATTAGTGGGTACCTTTGGTATTGACCATTTATTAAGAAGAGCAAGCTGTTGAGGCATATTGTATTCCTCTTGAACTGAATTTTTTATTGAAGTAGTTTCTAAATTATTCATTTTTAATTTAGGTTCTGAATCAAACAAATCTTTTGTAAACATAAAAAATACATAACCGCTCTGATACCAAATTTGGCGTGGGGCTGGGGCCTGGCCAGTGCTTATCTTAGCCGGTAAGACCAGGCAAACAGATGAGCAAGGAAACCAGGCCGGAATCCAAACCAACACCCTGGGTGATACCATTCATCCAAGAGCTATGCCGTGTCAGCCAGCTACAGGATCAAAATCTCTATCCATCCTTAATTAAAATATCAATAATCGAGATTTATGGAAAAGTTTCACCCGACTCTCAAGCCTGTCTGGAATCCACAACTTATTGTGCATCATGTGGCCTCTTTTTCCCCTTAAACAATTCATCATAATGGGTACTTTTCCAGCCCAATGCACTTATTGTTGAGTTTTCCGACTGAACTCGGAATCGAAACCAATCTCAAATCATCGTATTTTAATTAAAAGAGAAGAAGGAGATAGAGCTTCCATGTATAATTTATGTAAACAAAAGCCAAATGTTTGATTCACACAAAGGATTTACTCAGACATTGTCTGAGTACTTCAAACTATAAATTCAGTAACTAAATCATTCAGAGCTGATACCAAATTTTGTATTACCATTGCTTACTGGTAATACAGATTTTGCGTGATACAGATTTGGCGTGATACCAAGTTTGAAGAATAGAAGAAGATTTCAAAGGTAATTTTTCTTTTAAGTTTATTTTAATTTATAGTTTGAAGTACTCAGACAATGTCTGAGTAAATCCTTTGTGTGAATCAAACATTTGGCTTTTGTTTACATAAATTATACATGGAAGCTCTATCTCCTTCTTCTCTTTTAATTAAAATACGATGATTTGAGATTGGTTCCGATTCCGAGTTCAGTCGAAAAACTCAACAATAAGTGCATTGGGCTGAAAAAGTACCCGTTATGATGAATTGTTTAAGGGGATAAAGAGGCCACATGATGCACAATAAGTTGTGGATTCCAGACAGGCTTGAGAGTCGGGTGAAACTTTTCCATGCATCTCGATTATTGATATTTTAATTAAGGATGGATAGAGATTTTGATCCTGTAGCTGGCTGACATGGCATAGCTCTTGGATGAATGGTATCAACCAGGGTGGTGGTTTAGATTCCGGCCTGGTTTCCTTGCTCATCTGTTTGTTTACAAGGGAGAGAGAGTGTTTTGAATGATTTGTTTACAAGGGAGAGAGAGTGTTTTGAGAGAAAAGAAGAAGAAAGGAGAGAATCATTCTTCTTGAAACTGACCAAGATGATATCCGGTCATATGAAAAAGGATCCACAAAGGAGGTAATATTCCTTCTTGAAAACGCTGATATTCAGTGGAAAAATGACCCATGGGTAATATTCCGAAGATATCTAGCAGAAAGGGTAATGATACTGGGTGAGTCATACAAACCCAGAAATTATTATGAGAATATTCTCAAACAAACCTGTGAAATAACACATTTTCAGTCTAATCAGACTACAACTGAAGTTTATAACTTCTCAAAAATTGTTATCAAAAAGATTTTATCTTCTGAGGAATGGGGAATTTCAACCCTTTCTGAAAGAGAAGTACGTAATACTCCTACTTCTCCTCCTTTGAAATTTACTTACTGGGATTATATTCAAAGTGTTTACAAAATCTTTTATTATGAAAACCCCAGAAAAAAGCATACTTGGTTCATTAAGATATGTTCCAATGTTTATTCTTCTCCCATACCCAATTGGTTTATCCAGCGGTGGGCATTATATGGCCCAACAACAAAAATTTTGCCAGATAATTTTTCAAAATTATATTATCAATGGTTAAAATCTTCCCCTATCATTGATAAACTTCAACACAGTCATATCTGTGCTCCAGGAAAAATCACTTTGTTATACTTATTTATTGAATTCTCGATTTCCTGGATTTATAAATGGGTTCCTGAGGTTGGATTCAATGAATTTCAAATTCCGTGTCTTTATAAGACATATTATACCAAATTTTGGGATAAATTAACAAAAATGAATCACAATACCAAAAGAATGGAAGGACATGACTTGCTGGACGAAATTGCCCAAAAATCAAAGAATATACTCAGGACAAAGGACGACTCAAAGCAAACCCCGATGAAGAAAGTCCATTCAAACACATCACAAAACGAATTCGGCTTCAAAGAGGAGCAATTAATAAGGAAGAGATAATATCCGCCTATATGAAAGAAGTTAAAGCAGATCTTATGAGAAATTTAAAAATCTCGATAATGATAATATTTCGAAAAATCGGATGTTTCGATGAAGAGTATTACTTCCAATGAAGAAAATTCTTTTGCAATATTGGTAGGAGAATCTCACCATCGAAAATGATGACGATCACGAGGAATTTATCAAAATCATATACAGAGATCCAAGAAACAATTTCAATCGACAAAAGGAAAAGAAAAAAGTATGAAGTGACAAAAGTAGGAATCTACTTTTGAAATTTAATATAAGTGGGCCCCACAAGCAGTCAAATCTGAAGAAAAGCATGTCAAATAATGACAAGAATTAATAATTCTTTGTAAAATAGTACTTATAAACTTTGTCTATAAATAGAATGTATTAGTTCATTTGGAGGGCAACGATTCTCTCCTTTCTTCTTCTTTTCTCTCAAAACACTCTCTCTCCCTTGTAAACAAATCATTCAGTAAATATATCTTTCAAGTTTGAAGAATAGAAGAAGCTTTCAAAGGTAATTTTTCTTTTAAGTTTGTTTTAATTTATAGTTTGAAGTACTCAGACAATGTCTGAGTAAATCCTTTGTCTGAATCAAACATTTGGCTTTTGTTTACATAGATTATACATGGAAGCTCTATCTCCTTCTTCTCTTTTAATTAAAATACGATGATTTGAGATTGGTTCCGATTCCGAGTTCAGTCGAAAAACTCAACAATAAGTGCATTGGGCTGAAAAAGTACCCGTTATGATGAATTGTTTAAGGGGATAAAGAGGCCACATGATGCACAATAAGTTGTGGATTCCAGACAGGCTTGAGAGTCGGGTGAAACTTTTCCATGCATCTCGATTATTGATATTTTAATTAAGGATGGATAGAGATTTTGATCCTGTAGCTGGCTGACATGGCATAGCTCTTGGATGAATGGTATCAGCTAGGGTGGTGGTTTGGATTCCGGCCTGGTTTCCTTGCTCATCTGTTTGCCTGGTCTTACCGGCTAAGATAAGCACTGGCCAGGCCCCAGCCCCTCGCCAAATTTGTATCAATATCTCATTCTCAATTCCATAAGATTTTAATTATGTTCAATTCCAATTCTATCCAACCAAACGAAGCCTGCATGATTAAAAAAGGGAAATTTTTTGAAAAAGGTAGAGGAAAGATCAAATTTACTATTAACGGCATAAGTGTTTTTTTATTCTTTTTTATAAATTAGTTAAATAGAGATATTGTTTTTCAATACTCTAAAAGACTACTTTATTCTTGCTTTTACTTCTTTCCCCTAAATAATAATCAACGTCTCACAATTATAAGGAAGAAGGGGGAGATGATCGGCACGGTAAGAGTCGAGAACTCTGTTTTTCTTCTCCTTTCAATCCAAAGTTTTAGACAAGAGTGATTACTTAAACCACTTGAATCTGAATTTTTTTTTTTACATGTTTTTTAGTTTAATTGTGAATCTCTAATTTTTATTAAAATAATTGTGAATCTCTAATTTTTATTAAGAATTGGCAACCCAGATGAATATGGAATTTCTTTACGCAATTCGAAACCATCAATTAATATTAATTTTATTCCCATGTTAAACGCAAGAAAAAGGGGGAAAAAATTATAAACAAAGTTGTACTTCCTTAAATCAATATTGTCTCACAGATCAATCAATGGTTGTCAAGTTCATCAAACGAAGCACTAGAATCATACTATGGGGTCATGAGTATTAACTGATTCAGATGAGTTTACGTGAGAAAGGAGTAAAATTATAAGGGTAATTGGTTAGGAAATACGGAGTTTTATTTGTTTTATGTTTTACTGCCGAAGTTATATGTAGTTTTAATTACAAAAAAATCTAAAAAATTATTTTTTTTCACATTTTTGTGTTCTTTTAATTATTAAAAAATATTTTAAAAGTTTTTTTATTCCTCCATTCATAGATTTCTAATAAAATATACTTCCTCTTTTCTCCTAAAATATCATTTAGTGTGTTCTTTTGTCTTAAAATAAAAATCTAAAAAATGTAATTACACATATTATTTTTTCTCATTATTATAAAATAATTTTAAGATTTTATTTTTATTTATGGGTTTTTTTAAAAAAAATTCTTAATTAGAAATAATGTAGGACAAATCAAAATATGAGTATATAATTCAGAGACTCCCCCAAGTATCCCATTGAACGGAGGACTCAAACTGAAAGCCCAAAATAACTCACAGAAGCCTCCGGCGGCACTCCGGTCCGACATACTAATAGTTGAAGAAAGCCGGAGGAGGAGGAAGAAACGGCACTAGACCGAGCGGAAAAGATGTCGCGGGAGAGAGCCACTAATAAGCGAAGCGCCATCCTGCCTCCTGCTAAACAGGTTACACCATTTCCCTTCTCCGTTCAGCTTCCGGCATGTTAAATTAGAATGTGTGTGTGGAGTCACTTCGCGACATCTTTAAATACGTATATTTCGGATGGATCTACTTTTGAACTGATTTAATTTTCCTTTGTTTTTCTTGTTGTGAACGCGAGTAATCTTTAGCAATTTAGCGATGATCGATTTCTGATAGGTGTTGTTGGGTTTGCAGAATATTGAGAAGTTAGAGAACATGGTGATACAAGGCAATTACTATGGAGCTCAACAGATGTACAAGTCATTCAGCGCTAGGTAACTACTCCCATCCAAGTGTTAGCTACTGCCAAGCTATTACATGTATTTATATGGGTCTCTCATAATCATACTTGATGAAGGTCGGGTGTTTCCTTACTCTTTGTTTTCGTTGGTTGTAGGTATGCTGCCGCAGAAAGGTACGATGAAGCCCTAGAAGTTCTTCAGTCTGGTGCTTGCTTACAGTTGGAAAATCAGCAGGTCTTATATCCATACCTATACTCCCTTTGTCCCACAAAAATAGTCCACTTTTGTAGTTTGTGAATTGTACTGGGGGTAACTTTTTGGTTTTCACATTGGCAAATTATTATTATTATTATTATTATTTTTTGTATAATCATTTTCATTGGATACTATGGCCAGTTTGGTTCAGGAAGAGATAGTATGAACTTTGTTGTCCCTAATTATTTATCAGTTCCATTCTGAGAGCACGGAATATTATTCATCCGCTTTGGTTTGTATTAACAGCTATGCATGGTTGTTCTCAGTATAGTTTTGTGTCTGTTTCTTTTTTGCTTCTAACGGGGTAAATGCCATCATTTTTCCAATTCTTTTGACTCCTGTTGCATTTATTTCCTTTTCAAATTTAAGTTTGTTGAACTTTTTCATACATAGGTCACTTGTGGGGCTGAGCTTGCTGTGCTATTCGTGGAAATACTTGTAAAAGGAAAATATCCTTGCGATGATGATACTCTTGGTTAGTTCTTTTCTCCTTGAACTTCTTTCTGATTGAATTTAGGATGAGCTATTCAAGGGTGTTTGGCGACTGTGGATGGGATGTAAAATTTCTTTCAGAAGGTAGCATCAGCACGGAAGAAATATGTCTATAACTGGTGGAGAAAGTTTTATTGAGAAAAGTAGACCGTGGTCTATGTTATTTTTCAAGCAGGGATCCATAGGGTTTTCACTTGCTTGCTAGCATGGGCTTCATCAATTTTTTGAATTCGAAGTAAACCGTTCGGAATTCTGTAATCACACAAAAATATTTGGCTTAAACTTCAAAACGTGTATTTCTCAGCCTTTACTTGGTTCTCTTCCTTGAACAAACCCCCCAACAAAGCACCCAAAAAAACCACAAATAAAGAAAAGAAATTGCGGATGCTTTTTGAATATTGATAATAGAAACTGATTCCCATTTCACAGTGGTCGTATAGCTTTGCTTCCTTATGCATAATTCTATACACTGTTTGCTAGGTTTTATCTTTTTACTCTTGACAAACTTTCACCTTAGCTCGTGTCAGGAAAATCTACAAGAAGTTTCCTCGAATATCTGTGCCTCAACATCTTGACATGACAGACGATGATGACATTCAGCAGCTATCTGAAGCTCTTGCTGCTGCTAAAATTCGCGTCGAATCCTGCTCTTCATTTTTACGAGCTGCTATCAAGTATGTTTTTATCCAAATCCTCTTTGCTTCTCAGTCATTGTTGGTGACTGGTATTGTAGGTGCATGCCATCCTCTCTTTGTGGCAGTTTAGTATCGTCTCCATTTTTGAGTGTGTCGTCGTACTTGTATTTTTATATTTATATTCACCTGCTTCCTGTTTAGGGAAATACTTGACATAGGGGCTGCCTTGGTTTTTGCAAAATAAGTATGAAATTCCCCCTTTCTTTTTTGTAGCTTGTGTTAAAGTATCTGCACTTCTAAATACACAAAATTTACATTTTCTTGCCATTTAGCACCTCAGGACTTTTATAATACGTGTAATTGAGATTTGTCTGTATTATCCCAATGGATGTTGCTGGCTTTGTTCTCTTTCTAGGTGGTCAGTGGAATTTGGAGCACGCAGGAATGGATCACCAGAACTACATGATATGCTTGCTGATTATATATACTCTGAATCTCCTGAAGTGGTATTTCCAAAGATTTTTTTTTTTCCTTCTTCTTTTTTCCCTTTCAAGTGAATGTCTTTGTTCTTTGTTTAGATTGCGTCGGATTAGGATGATTATGTTGGTTCCACACCAATTATGTTTGATTTGGTCCTTTTGTGCTACGCAATATCCCACAACCCTGTTTTAATCATTTTATAATCTCTGATTTTTCCGGTGTGGTGATGATTGGGATATGTTTGAATTTGTGGGTGTTAGTAGTCTCATATGTCTGAGTTGGTTGGAACATGTTCATGTTTTTGTTCCAAGAACATAACTATTGCTAGCATTACCATGATATGCTATGTTATGGAGCATAGTTTGTGCCACTATTTTAAGTGTGGCCTTTGCTGGGGTTATCAATTTGGGTAAAAATGCTCTTGAGAACCCATTTCGATTGTCAAAACATTGCCAGCATGTCAGCTTTTCGTTTTTAGTCTTGCTCAATGTTCTTGGATTCCTTTTTGGCAATCATGTTACAACTGAATAAGATTTCTCATAATATGTGGACAAGATAAATCTAAACTTTCAATGCTTAACCGTTTTTGTTGTCCCTAATTTCGTGAAACAATATTATATTTATCTATTGGTGGTCTCACATTGAGTGGTTCCAATGTTTTGACTTGTGAATTGTGACATTTCTGTTTAATTTGCTTTATGATAACAATACGCCATAGTACCTGAGAAATTAAGGCTTTCAGGTTTATCAGTTGGCTGAAATCTGCTACCTTGTGGTGCCTTTTGCAGGACATGGCCAAAGTTACCTTTCATTTTGTCCGTGGAAAGAACCCAAAGAAGTTTGCGTCAACGCTGGTGAACTTCATGGGCAAGGTGAACCGTCACATTTGTTTCAAACTTTTATTTGCTATCCTCATGCATGTACAGTGGACAATGGTCTTCACCTTATTTGCATCTCTTGGAAACATCATTCAAGGACATCCTTGCGTGGAAATGGATTTTTTATTTTTATTGGCTGTTGTAATTAGCATAGGTGTCAGAAACCTAACATTTTATTTTCTTGAAATTTGTCTATAGTCCTCATCATCAGAGTAGCTGTTGAGTGTGGAGACCTTTCTCTTCCTCAACTTTGACCATGGCTGATATAAATGTTTTTTTTTTTTTGTATTGTTTGGTGGTTCACAGTATTTACATTTTCTGTTGGAAGTGGAATGAATAATTAAAATTCATTTTATTCACGCAGTGCTATCCAGGAGAAGATGATTTGGCCATTGCACGGGCAGTTTTAATGTAATTTAAAACATGTTTTATTAATTTTACGTTAGATTCTTTGTCTGTATCTGTATCCATATCCACTAAGATTTAGATACGTGTCGAATTATGGATTAGGTACTTGTCTCTGGGTAACTTGAGAGATGCCAACAATCTCATGGACGAGTTGAAAAAGTTAGTGCAGTCCAAGGAGATTGAGTTCCCAGAATCGGAGTTGATTCAATTCATCAATTATCTCCTCCTGACGTTAGTTCTTTCTACTGTGCCCTTTATTTTAGTGTGGTTGGCTTTGGTTGTTAGTTTTTGAGAAAAATGACTACCATAAAATTGTGTTTGTATATATCTGCAATGCTGTATTTCTTTATCATCCTTATTGTTTGCCATTTCAGTGCGAGATTTGTTTTCGACATTTTAAAATGTTATTATGTGGTGTTCTGTGGTACAGGTTGCAGAGAGATGCTCTGCCTTTGTTTAACATGTTGAAACAAAATTATCAATCTAGTATAGAAAGAGATCCCATATTTAGTGAGGTATGAGGTTTGATTTCCAACCTGAGGCAGCATCTATTTTTGTACCTTTTCTCTCTCACCCCGACACCCCCTTCCCTTTTTTTGTAAAGTTAAGCTTTGAGTGTATCTACAACTTCTTACAAGCAATTGTCGGTTTCTGTTGTTCAGTTGTTAGATGACATTGCTGAGAAGTTTTATGGGGTAAGACGTAAGAATCCATTGCAAGGGATTTTTGGAGATTTATTTAAGGTAAGTGTTTGAGCCTCTCAAAAGAGTAAACTTTTATATTGTAATGCGTATCCAATGACATCAGGACATTATCAGTTAGTGGCGGAGGCACATTATCTATGCTGTTTTGGCCCATGTACTTTGTAACATTTTGGAAATTGTTGGATAGTTAAATTCTCTTGATACTGCTGGAAACATGCTTCTGTTAGGCAGTCACTGAAAAAGCCTCCTTCACTGACTATCATTTTTTCTTCATCATTATGATCACTTGTTGTACATTTCATCTACAGTGGCGACGGAATCTTTTAATCAACTATCTGATTCCAATAGCATGTCTGCAATCTATTAGTATAAAAGAAAACAATGTTTTAATGTTGGAATGCCTTTAACAGATGATGGGAAGTGAATAGCTCGTGATGAAGTTTTGACCTCAATGAGCTGATTGTCTTTCCTGGGCATTCGTCGGCGTAAACTTCAGCAAGTGCTGATACACCCCCAGTGTTAGTCAGTTGTTCAATAGGACTTTCATTGCCTCGGAGTGGTTCTATGTGGGGTTTAAGTTGTTAAAAACTTTCTGTTGTAATATAGGTTTAAAATTGTTAAAACTTTCTTATGTAATATATAGTTCAATCGCCAGTTAATTATTGGTTACATAATCGGTTTGGGCTGTGTTCCCTAACTGTTCTTACGCGTCATCTTTCACCTTGTGTGAAAAGATTTGCTTGGTTGATTCCTGATGGCAAATGTTACCAATATTGGGGACTGGGGAGATAGGAAGCAGTGTCGACCATGGAATGTCCATAGGTTTTCATGTAGTCCTTAGAGAGTGTTATCATTAGGAGAAGTAAAGCGAGTAATTGGACATGTATAGAGAGACGAGGTACAGGGAAAATGGGGAATTCTATGAGATGGTTTGGAGTTTCATGGTTTGCTATTCTGTAGCATGACATAACATTGTAGTTGAGCATTTTGTTGAAGTTTGATGAGAATTGATTTGTGAAGAGAACGTGAAATTAATTTGTTCATAACCGTAAAAATTCCTTTTGGGGGCGATACAGTTAAACTCGTTAGGATGTTGAATTTCATTGGCATTTGAGTAATAAACGGCTTCTGCTTTTTGTCTTTTCTTTCTTCTCAAACAACAATTTATCCTGAAATTTCTGTCTGTTTAAGGTTGGTTTTTCTCTATATATATATTTTTAATAATTCTTAATTAATAAATATCCCATCAGTATATCTTTTAATACTTATTTTCATATTTTCAATCTAAACGTACTATTATACAATTTAAATTTTTTTTTTTCAATATTGAGAGACAACTATTGCGATTTGTTACATTTCCGACCGAACTTTTGATGAATAAGAGAATGTTTAATCAATTTTGTCGTTCCGAAGAAGAATGTTTATGTTTGATTTATTTTTTTACAATAATATAATAACAACTGTCCCATCTAGTATACATTTTTATAATTTTAATATATATATATATATTATTTTTTTGTATTTTTAATAAAAAATTCTTAAAAACACATGCTAAAAAAGAGAACCAAACGTAATTAACCAAAACATTTGTAAAGAATTGTGAGGGAAAGAAAAGACGAAAAAAAATGAGGGAGACATAGACGGATGTCCCTAACGTTTAGGGGGATGCCCCGGATAAATGGCACTGGGCTGAACCCAAAATGGTGCATTCTTTGACCTTTAACCTCAAGATCTAACTACTACTACTACTATTTTTTTTTTGTTTGAAACCAGCATACAGTTCTATATAATTTATTAAGCACAAAGATTATCGTCAGCAGGGACGGAACCAGGGGGAGCGAGGGTGGTCGGCCGACCTTGCGGTTGGCAAATTCTTTTTAAAAATTATTTTATAGTTTTTAAAATATTTTCGAACAAAAAATTTATATATGTACTCGACTCTGTAAATATTTGGGACTGGTTCCGTTACTAATTATTAGTTACATGACTGGCATGACATACCTGCAAAATTATGTGCATTTTGCACTTAACACCGTGGGACATCAGAGATTACATAAATAACTACTACTACTTGTATGAGGAGAAAGAAGTAAAGGAAAGAAGTTTGTTTTCGGTTTTTTTAGTGTGTGTTTTTAGTTATTTTTTATATTAAAAATGTAAAAAAGTATATTAAAAATATAAAAAAATATATTGAAATATAACAATTATTATTTAAATATTTTAAAAATACCATAACAAAACCAAATAAAGGGAGACTTGTGGTGGGAAGAGAAAAAGAAGAGTAGAGTGAGGGACACCCCAGCCCCAGCCCCAGCCCCAACCTCAACTGAACTCCAATCCGTACGAACCAAAGTTTTTTTACTAATTAAATGAATTAAACAAATAAGAAAACGAAAAAAAAAGGAGAAACCCAACATCAACAACAACAGACTGACTGTGTAGTGTGTGAGGTGGTGGGTAGTGACGGAAATCGGATCATTTCCACCAATTAATAAATCATCCATCACTCTCCTTCATAACCAACTCCCCCCCTTTTTTAACTACTACTCCAGTTGTTGTTCGTTGGAGCCGAAGAAGAACAAGAAGCAGAAGAAAAGCCCTACCCCGGCGGAGCCGCAGCAGCAGCACCAGCAGCTCAGCTCACTGAGCTACGCTCTCTTTTTCGCAATGCCCGCCGCCGATTTGGATCTGCCCGAGTAGCCACCGCTCTTTCCAACTCTCCGCCCCCAACCGTCGTCTTTTCTCAGGTCACATTCTCACATTCCCGGCTCCATTTATAGTTATTACGCATTGTCTTATCCTGTATTGTCTTACCCATGCTTCGCGTTTTTTATTTTTTATTTTTGATTACTGCCTTCTTCTTATCTGGATCCGCATTTCGGAAATTTGATTGTGTTATTGCTATTTTTTTTTTCTTCGGCTTTCGATTTTCTTATGTTCTTAAACCCTAATTCATCCCTCATTCTGGTGCTTCAGTGCTATGGATACTTCCTCCGCATCTAACGGTCAACGTTTCCGGAGGATTCCCCGCCAATCTTTGGCTGCCTCTTCCAATCTAGACCCCCTCGGGGTCAGTCACTCCTTTCTTACTTCCTTTTGTCTCCCTATGTTTCTAATGATAAAGAGGTTTTCATATATATTCAGTTATTCACCCTCACCCCCTTGGTTTCCTTTAACAGCTTGATGACAACTTGGAGCAGTGGCCACATTTGAATGAACTTGTTCATTGCTATCGAACTGACTGGGTCAAAGATGAAAGCAAGTATGGGCACTACGAGAGCTGCGGCACTGTACAGTTTCAGAATCAAATTTTTGAAGGCCCTGATACTGACCTCGAGACAGGTATGTGCCTCTTATCATGCTTCCTCACTAAACCAACCCTCCTTTTTTGTTCTGTTCTCGGCTTCTGTTAGATTGTTTATGGTTTGATAAGCCTTGTAGTTAAGTGGATATCCCAAAATGAGTGTTCCTGATTAAGGACTTCATAGCTGAATGTTTTATGACACATTAGGTCTGTTTGGACAATGAGTTGTTTTGTGTTTGTTCTCGGTGTGCCTTGGAAATTCAACCTAAAAGACATAACAACTACTCCCATGCTGTAGAGCTAAGTCTTATGTTTTCTTTTGACATGTTAATACAATTAAGTGATTGGAACATTCAATGCTGAATTTGATCTCCTAAGTCTAGCTTCTTTGTTAACTACTCTTGATGTGTATTCTCTTAGCCAATAGTTTATAAGTGAGTTATTGAGTGGTCGGAATATGGAACAGTAACATGTATATGATTTTAGATGCATGAGTAATGTTGATAAACACTATGAATAGGATCACTGCTAGTGTGCTGAACTGTCCCACCTGCTGAATCATGTAGAAGGGGGGCAATTTCAGGAGATGTTCTCATGGAACTAAAAACGCTATGCTGCGATAACTAATGTAGCCTACTCGACATTGACTGCCTTCGGCTTTTGTCCAGTACATCTTTTTTACTTCAGCTTATAGTGTACCAGATAAGGGTTTTTGAGGGAAAACCTGGCAACTAGTGCTAGGCCCCATTATTTCTGTCCCCTGGACTAATGCAAAATACATAATCAATATGCTTCCAACAGACAGAAAGTTGGAATATCTCATTCTCAATCTGGAGTCCCTAGTAAAAGAACCATCGTGGCACACACTTTTTGCACTATATATGTGTCTTTGATACTTACCGAGGAGAATGAAGGCGATTCATTGTAGGACTGATCCTTCCAATATTTTCTTCGGGGAAACTCCTGGCATCTTTAGTAGCTTCTGCTAATTTTGTGGTCTTAACAGTTCTTTTTGCCTTTATGAGCCACCCAAAAGTATCTTGTTGTGTTGTTGTGAGCTCTGACCCTTTATTTTATCTTCTTACTCGGACTTCAGAATGGCTTTGTTCTTGCTGATATTTTTCCTTGTGATTTGATCTCCTATCTTGCTTTATTGGTTACAGCCACTAATTGCTCTAAACTCTTAACCAAGCTTTGATTATTCGGTCACATACTCTGCAGCTAACTCTACTGACATATTTTTGAAATTCTGGCAGAATTGCGTCTTTCTAATGCCGTACAGACTAGGAATGAAGATGCCACTGATGAAGATGTCCCCAGTACATCTGGAGGGCACCTTTCAGGATCTAGCATCTCGGATGCATCAAATTCACTGGTGTTGAAGGTTGGCTAGTGTCACTGGGTATTTGGAGTTATTTTTCTTGTCCATTTTATTTGGTTCTATTGTTATTTATAAGAGCCCTGTCTACAGCATTTTGGTGAATCCCCCTTACCAGCTTATGAACCTGTTTTTGACTGGGAGAATGAGCGGTCGATGATCTTTGGGCAACGGAATCCTGAAACACATTTGCCTCAATATGCCAGGTCTTGCAATCTTGTTGTGAATTATCCACTTAATCTCTGTTATTCATGAAAGCAGGATCACTGACAAACAGGCTAGCTTTTATTGATGTAAATCAATATAGATTTTTTTATTTGTCATTCTTTTGTTGCAGTGGGCTAAAAATTGCTGTGAAAGTTCTGTCCCTGTCATTTCAAGCTGGGCTTGTTGGTGAGCTTAAAGTTCATCCTTGTTACCTCGTTTAAAGTTCCATTGATGTTTGTCAAGTAATTTAACTCCTGAACATAACATTTCTGATGTTCAGAAGTTTTCTTGTAGAGCCGTTTTATGGCACAATCTCTTTGTATAATAGAGAGAGAAGAGAAAAACTCTCAGAAGATTTCCCTTTCCATGTTTTGCCGCCGGAGCTTCAGGATGTAAGCTGAAAAGTTTTCTGTTCTCCCCCACCCCTCTTTCTCTGTTAGTATTTTATTTTAGGGGCCATTTTTGGTGGATCACATTATCTTTGTCCATATTATTACCAGGGGAACAGTTCTTCTGAACAACGTGGTGTATTCCATCTAGATGCTCCATCATCTTCTGTTTGTTTGCTGATTCAATTGGAGAAACCTGCAACCGAGGAAAATGGGGTGACTCCTTCTGTTTATTCACGCAAAGAACCAGTAAGACTATAACCTTCCAAATTCATATACATGGTTGATTAGTTTTGTTGATTATGTTGCTTCCCTAGTTGATTTGGTATATGGGATATTCATTGCTTTAAGATTAGGAAAGTAGGGTCTTGTTGGATTTTGGGATATATAAGGGTGTGAATTTACTGACCTGCTTTGGAACCTAGCTAGGGTTTGATCATTTGAAAGTTGTCTCGTTGTGGCTGAATATGATATATGTATGATTTGGCATGCAGTTTTGCTAATGTGCCCTGCTAGTGTATTTTTTCTTTTCTTTCTCTTCATAAGGTGAAGCTCATTGATACACGATGGTAGCCTATTAGTGTTTTATTATAGGAAGTAGGAAGAGGATTAACACTTTGGCCCTTGGAAGCTGGAGCCATCGCATATAATCTTTGAGATTTACTTGTGTTAATGCTGGGCTGATTTATGGTGCTCCCAAACTTTTCTCTTAACACATGATTTTAACACTATGTTTTACTAATTCTAGGTTTTTCGTGATTAGGTGCACTTGACTGAAAGAGAGAAGCAGAAGCTGCAAGTTTGGTCTCGGATCATGCCATATAGAGAGTCCTTTGCTTGGGCCATTATCCCACTCTTTGACAGCAATATGAGTGCTCCTTCTGGGGGTTCTGCTTCGCCTGGCAGCCCCTTAACTCCTAGCATGTCAGGTTCTGGTCAAGATCCTGTTTTAGAGCCAATTGCAAAGATAACGTCAGACGGCAAGTTCAACTATTCAAGTGCAGTGGTCGTTGAAGTTTCAAATTTAAATAAAGTGAAAGAAAGCTACACTGAAGACTCTCTTCAGGTGTGTTAGGTCTAATTCTCATTTTGGTCTTCATTACTGTCTCATTTTTCAAGGTTCAAAAACCTGTTCAGACTGTGAAAACGTTGCAGTATCAATGCAACGGGTGCTTTGTATTCTTTGTTCTCCTTTAATATAATAAAGCAACTGGTCCTGGTTTTGCGATAGCGGGCATTAGTTGTAAAATATATACCTGATACTATAGGTGGTTTTATACTCTTTTCAAAAGCTTCGGATCAATTTGCAGTTGAAAAAGAAGGAAATTGTTCAAAAGCAAAAGGAGACACATTGACTAGAAGTTCTTGTGGAACAATGTCCTGGCATAAAGTTCTTGCTTACACTTATGCTCCATAAAAAACTTCCTAAGGGGACCTGGAAGTTTACTAATTAGTGTTATATCTAAAACCAGAAAAAAGGTTCTTTGAACTGCATTATCTGATCCTGATTTTCATCCTCAAACCTGTAGGATCCAAAGCGAAAGGTTCATAAACCTGTCAAAGGAGTCCTAAGATTGGAAATTGAAAAGCTCCAGGCTAGCGCCGTTGATTTTGGAAACACTGTAGATAATGGGCATGCCACTTATCATTCCGGTGAACATGGGGACCAGCTGGCCGATGCAAATTATACCAGAAGCTCCAATAATGGTGCTTCTGGAATTCCAAGTGCCAGTTCCAAAACCATTTCATATCAAGGGAAAGAGCTGTCTCGAAATGGATCAATCGCTGTGGGAGATTCAGAATTTGCTTCTGGTGATGTAGGTTATACCTTTTTATGATCAGGATCCACTCTATGCTTTGAAGCATTTTAGAATCATTTATTTTGGCCGTTATTCGTGCAGTTATACTATGGTATCCTGTTTGTTTAAATTGGGGGTTTGTCAGCTAGATGTAGTCTTTGTTGGTTATTTGCGTATCGACTATTGATATTATAATGTTCTTTATACAGTTCCAAGCCTTTGACTTCCGTACGACAACAAGAAATGAGCCTTTTTTGCAACTCTTCCATTGTCTTTATGTCTATCCTTTGACTGTCAGCATGAGCCGGAAAAGGAATTTGTTCATTCGTGTTGAGCTCAAGAAGGATGATGTTGATATCCGTAAACCAGCACTGGAGGTAAGTTGTTCTTGACATTGTTATAGCTACTTCCTGAAGTAGATAGTTGGATTGTTTATGTGGCTATCTTTTACCAGGCAATGCATCAAAGTGAACCTGCAGCATCACTACATAAATGGGCACATACCCAAGTTGCCGTGGGTGCGAGGGTTGCTTGCTACCATGATGAAATCAAAGTTTCTCTGCCTGCTATTTGGACACCATTGCATCACCTCTTGTTCACTTTCTATCATGTTGATCTTCAAACTAAATTAGAAGCGCCAAAGCCTGTAAGTCTTCTGTATTAAGGCATAATAGTTACTTTCTATCGTTAGTTTAGAAGCGCCATCCTTGTATCATCTCTTGGTGTTTCCTTTTTCTCAGAGTTTTTTTTAAATTATTTATTTATTTATTTTAAATTTTGCAGGTGGTAGTTGGATACGCTTCACTTCCGTTATCTACACATGCTCAGTATGTTGTTTTCTATATTGCATGATATAAGACTCTGTTGGATAATTTTGTGCATGGTTCATCTACTATCAGTAATTATTCCGGTTTTCGTTCAGGTTTAGGTCTGAAATTTCTTTGCCCATTGTGAGAGAATTGGTGCCTCACTATCTTCAGGATTCTGTTAAGGTATGGATTCCCTTGTGATCTTGTTATCCTCTCTTCTTTGCGTACAAATGTAAGGTACAACATTTTTGATGTGCACACTCTTGGCATAGCGTGACTTCAAATTTTTTACGTGCACATTATTGGCATAGTGTGACTATGGCCTCTCTAAAGGTCTTGATTCATCGATGGCTATTTGCAAACTTCAACTGCTTTCTTTTGAGATAATTTAATATTTTCTAATGTTCATTTCTACCAATGCTTTGTAGGAGAGACTGGATTACTTGGAGGATGGAAAAAATGTATTCCGACTTCGGTTGCGACTTTGCTCATCATTATACCCCATAAGTGAGCGCATTAGAGATTTTTTTCTCGAGTATGACAGACACACCCTTCGAACTAGTCCACCTTGGGGTTCTGAGCTTCTTGAGGTGCTTATCTTCAATGCTGCATTTTTCCTCAATTTCAATTTGCTTTTGTTACTATCCACAGAAGTATTAAGTTACACTCCATTTTCCAGTCATCGTTTGCAATGAAACTTGATGTGATTAGTAGCTTAGAATGCAACTAGTGGCACCTTTTAAGTTCAAAATGACAAACTTAACTAGTAATATTGGACCTCTTTTCTAAAAAAATTTGTATTCAGGCTATCAACAGTTTGAAGAATGTGGATTCTACCGCTTTGCTTCAGTTTCTCCATCCAATCTTAAATATGCTTCTTCATCTTATTGGCAATGGTGGTGAAACTCTCCAGGTACATTACTACACTTGAGTAGTTTAATCCCTCCTTGTACAGTTCCCCTGATACACATATTCATTTGTTATTAGCTTTTCTGTTTTTTTGTAGTCCTGTTTTAAGTGGATGGTGTTTCCAAGAGTATATTTCTGTATTTTAATGCTATCTAATTTGTCTGTTTCGTTCCTCCCTATTTTCTCAAATATAGGTTGCCGCCTTCAGAGCCATGGTTAACATTTTGACGAGGTACTTTTTTCAATTATCTTTTCTATTATTACCGGTAATTTAGCAACATTGCTTCTCCCTCGTTTGTATCTTTCTTGCACGTATAAAAGAAGCAAATACGTCATAGCTGTTTGCCCAGTTCGATTGACACACTCACTTTAATCAAATTGACGGTTTTATAGCATTTTGGTGATTAAATGCTGTTAAAATCCTCTTTTCATCTCATGGAATATAAATCAGGGTGCAACAAGAATCTGTGGATGAAGCTGAAAGAAATGTTTACCTCGTAAACTATGTTGATTATGCCTTTGATGATTTTGGTGGTCGGCAGCCTCCAGTGTATCCTGGTTTATCTACAGTTTGGGGAAGCTTGGCACGGAGCAAGGTAAAAATCTTAGCCTGCAGCTGCTTTAAGAACCTAGTTATTTTTAAACTTATTCGTTCAACATATTAGGGGATCTCACAGTTGAAGCACTCCTAGAAACAGATCATTCTGTTTTCAGGATTGTTGAGATTCACATGCCATAGATACAAATACTTGTGCCAATCGAATTCAAATATCTTAAAACTTCTTGGTCAGTTACATATCTTTTTAAGTAAAAGGATTAACGATCACCTATTTCCTCTAATGCCAAATTATAGCTGAAAGCTGCTTTACACAGTATCATTTAGCTTTTCTCCCCATGTGTTGATCTATTATTTTCATGCAGGCAAAAGGATATCGTGTTGGCCCTGTTTACGATGATGTACTGGCAATGGCGTGGTTTTTTCTTGAACTTATCGTCAAATCAATGGCCCTAGAGCAGATGCGGTTATTCTATCACAATCTTCCTTCAGGTAAGACTTGCATATTTATTTGGATTATATTTCTAGAGAAATGAAGGTCGTTAACCAAACTTTTTGAACTCCTAACATTGGAAAAGAATTTTGGTAATTCTACGGGCATGCATGCTATTCAACCTGTTTGCCAACTGGAGTAAAACATGTTATTCATCTTGCTCAACTTATTTGGATCCAGAATTAGATTAGGGCAAAGTATTTGTATTTCTTTTGTTGAAGACAGAATGTTGAATGGGCAGTATTGTGTTTCTTATTTTTATTCTTTCATCCCTGAGTTTATTTTCCATTTTCAGGGGAGGATGTTCCACCAATGCAGTTGAAAGAAGGTGTTTTCAGATGTATCATGCAGCTATACGACTGCCTTATTACTGAAGTTCATGAACGTTGCAAAAAAGGTTTGGGGTTGGCCAAATATTTGAACAGCAGTTTGGCTTTTTTTTGCTATGACCTCTTATCCATCATCGAGCCTCGGCAAGTTTTTGAATTGGTATGTTTTCTACATGTAGTGATGATACTCAAAAGCTTTCGCGTTCATGAAAATGTTTCAACTGCAAGGCTTTAAATGTCTGATTCTGTTTTACTTTTTCTGTACCAAAGATAGAATCGGAAAAGATACTGTTGATATCACTATATTGTAACATAAATAAGCATCAATTAATGGGTGGTAATTTCAGTTACTTGATCCGGAAGAGTCAAATAGATCCTTGAAGTTTTCCTATTTTATTGTTATGTCTCACTTCTTAACATAATCATGATGGGAGGAGTGGTTTTGAGTCACGGAACTGTGAGAAGTTGTATTTGGCATGCCCTCTGGAAAAGCACTAGCTGCATGCTCTTCTCTTATCTTTATTGTTTTATAACAAATCTCGGTATTTCTGGTTTTCAAGTAGTTAAGAAGGAAAAGCTTGATGTTTCTGCTGAAGGATTTTATTCATCATTTTCTTCAGATGGGACAAACAATTGTTCGTATGAACTTGTGAAGAAGTTTTAACTGAACTAGATGATGAGATATGATTTATATAACCATTCCCAATAATGATAAAAAAGCTTAGTTGTCTGTGTTATATGAATTTAATGCAGTTAAAATTTTGGGGTTTTCTTCAAGACCAAGAGGATACTGAAAGATTATGCCTCGGATTGTAGTTCATTATAATATTCATTTTTACCCGCCATTTTTTCATCCACTTTAACGATTTTGTCTTCTTAAAAATTGGGTTAGTATTTGATTGCGATGATTTCTTTTTTTTTTTCGTTTTTATGTAGGTATCGTTATACCTGGACAAGTTCTCTGGGGTTTGTCAGTCAGTGCTGCATGAATGCAAGCTTACTTTTCTGCAAATTATATGTGACCATGACCTTTTTGTGGAGATGCCTGGCCGTGATCCCTCAGATAGGTAACAACCAAAACTTGTAAAAGTTTAGGGAACAATAGAGAAACATCTATGTTTTCTTTTTATTTTTTTGGTTGTGTTGATTTAAGGATCTCAATTATATGTGTACGCTGGACTTCTTTTCTAATTTTCGCCTTCCTAATGCAGGAACTACCTTTCATCTGTCTTAATACAAGAGATTTTCCTTACATGGGACCATGATGATCTATCTATGCGGGCAAAAGTGAGTGTACTTTGGGTTTCTTGATATTTGTTTATTTATTTATCCTCTGATCCTAATTCACTTGGCATATTTTTAACTGCATGAATGCGTTGTCTTTGACATACCTCTTACATCCTTTTGGTCTATATCTAGGCAGCTAGAATTCTGGTGGTTCTTCTTTGCAAGCATGAGTTTGATATTCGCTACCAGAAGCCTGAAGACAAGCTCTATATTGCCCAATTATATTTCCCGTTGGTTGCTCAGGTGTGTACGTTTTATTACATGTGAGAAATGTTTTTGCTACTTGGATTCTCATTTTATAGTAGTCTTTGGAACTTCTGCTCGGCAGATCAATTGTGGATTCAAAAAAGTGAATCCAGAGCATTTTTTCCCCGTCAAATCAAGTTGATTATTGGGTAACTGACAGTTATTTATGCAGCTATTTGAAAGTACTCCCCCTCCCCACCGCGCAGAAAACATCTGACTAAACTAAATAATGACCTATTGCACAAAGAGTGTGAGTATGGTAATGAGCTAAAGTGTGATATTTTGGTGCCTATAAATGATGCCCAAATTTCTAGAAAAGCTACCAGCAAGCTTTCCCTTTAGTTTCAAATTTGTTTGTAGTATTGAGGTTATCTTCTGTGACTCATTTAATTGATTTTGAGTAATTGAAGATTACCCCACGTTTCTTGTTTCTTGTAGACCCTTGGCTTTTAAATTCTATAATGTAATTGATTTTGTTGTCATCACCTTCACATATTCAGATATTTAATTGGAGTTCAGAATCTTCCTGTGTTACTTGCTTTGGCCAGGCATAGTCATCTTATGAGTGAAAGTTTGGTCCATGCAGATCTTAGACGAAATGCCTGTTTTCTACAATCTGAGTGGCGTAGAAAAACGTGAAGTGTTGATCATTATTTTGCAAATCCTACGCAATTTGGATGATGCCTCTCTCGTAAAGGCTTGGCAGCACAGCATTGCTCGTACTAGATTATTTTTCAAACTTTTGGAGGAGTGCCTTATACATTTTGAGGTTAAACTGTTCCTTTGTGTCCTTTGTTTATCTTTTTGCAACATTGCTTCATTCTGATATCGATATTTATGATGTTTGGTGGCTCAGACAATATGTATGGACATACGTAGACATACAGTGATGATTATGTTGCATTTGTAACAATCTCTAAACAACAATATATTATATATATGAAGATGTGGCACTTGTATATTTTTTAGCCAACGTAAGTGTTGTATTAGGATAATCGATTAAATTAATAAAATGATTGAAATTTGTAATACAATTGATGGACTTGACATATCCTCAATCTATTCTTGCATTGAAATTTGCAAGAATTTATTTTTAAATCTTTTTTTCCCCCTTGAAAATTTCAATTTGTACATCATAAACAAGCTTGAGATCAGGGTTTTCTCCATCTTGCTATGGGCTTCTATAATTCATACCTTGTTAACTAACTTGTAGCAACAAATTTTACAGCATCGAAGACCTGCTGATAGCATGCTAATCAACAGCAGCTCTCGCAGTCCTGGCCAGGACAAACCCTCCTCTCCAAAATATTCTGAAAGGCTGTCACCTGCAATTAATCACTATCTTTCTGAGGCAGCAAGACATGAAGTGAGGGTATGTAGTTGTTGAAATCGTCTGTATTTTCTGAATTTTAGTATTTCTATGCACTTTCAGTTCTATCCTGGCTCTCTCTCTCTCTCTCTCTCTTTTTTTTTTTTTCCCTTCTTTTCTTTTCTTCTTTTCTTGCATTCCCGCTGAATTAAGATTTAAAATCTTTCCTGTATCCAGCCTCAAGGAACACCAGAAAATGGCTACTTGTGGCAGAGAGTGAGCTCCCAGTTAAGTTCACCTAGTCAGCCATATTCTTTGAGGGAAGCCCTTGCTCAGGCACAGTCTTCTAGGATTGGTGCTTCTACTCAAGCACTAAGAGAATCTTTGCACCCGGTCTTGAGACAAAAACTGGTATTATTTTGTCTTACTAAGTGTTTCTCTTGAGACTTAATTTTGCTTTCTGATGTATACATGCAACTCCAGGAGCTTTGGGAAGAAAACCTTACTGCGGCTGTCAGTCTTCAAGTTCTGGAAATAGCTGAGAAGTTTTCAAGAACAGCAGCTTCCCACAGCATTGCGACTGATTATGGAAAACTTGATTGCATCACTTCTATATTTATGAATGTCTTCTCGCGCAACCAACCCCTGCTGTTCTGGAGAGCTTTCTTTCCTGTGTTCAACAGCGTCTTTGAACTTCACGGTGCAACATTAATGGCACGGGAAAATGATCGTTTCTTGAAACAAGTTGCATTTCATCTTCTACGTCTGGCAGTTTTTCGGAACGATAATGTTAGAAAAAGAGCTGTTGTTGGTCTTCAGATCCTTGTTCGGGTATGACACTTTTGTGGTGGGTTTTACTCTTTGTGTTTTGTTGTTTCAACTATTTCTTGTTGAATTTTGTTCTTGCCTTCCAAAATTGCAGAGCTCTTTCTCGTACTTCATGCAAACAGCACGGCTAAGAGTAATGTTGACTATTACTCTTTCGGAGTTGATGTCTGAGGTCCAAGTGACCCAGATGAAATCAGATGGAACACTTGAAGAAAGTGGCGAGGCACGCCGGTTGAGAAAGTCTCTTGGGGAAATGGCAGATGAATCCAAGAGTCTGCATTTGTTAACTGAATGTGGCCTCCCCGATAATGCACTCGTGTCTCTTCACCAAAACTCATCAGAAAACCGATGGTCCTGGTCAGAAGTCAAACATCTTGCTGAGTGTCTTCTTTTGGCTCTTGATGCTAGCCTGGAACATGCACTACTGGTATAACCTGACATCATTCATCAGCAGTTCCCTATATTTTATGAAAATTAAGTTGTACTAATTTTTGCTATCTAATGGTTCATTTGTAGGCATCTGTTATGACTGTGGACCGATATGCTGCGGCAGAGGGCTTTTACAAACTCGCAATGGCCTTTGCTCCTGTGCCAGATCTTCATATAATGTGGTTACTGCACTTATGTGATGCACATCAAGAAATGCAGTCCTGGGCTGAAGCTGCGCAGTGTGCAGTTGCTGTTGCTGGCGTCGTAATGCAGGTTAACCCCCCACCCCTCACCCCCAACACACACGAACACTAAGCAAGGAGTTTCTTGAAGAGTTAAATATTGATATACATAAAATGTGCAGGCCCTCGTGAGCCGGAATGATGGTGTCTGGAGCAGCGAGCATGTCACTGCTCTGCGCAAGATTTGCCCAATGGTCAATAGTGAGATAACTTCTGAGGCTTCAGCAGCGGAGGTGGAAGGCTATGGCGCTTCAAAACTTACAGTGGACTCGGCTGTAAAATATCTGCAGCTTGCTAATAAGCTTTTCTCTCAAGCGGAGCTCTACCATTTCTGTGCTAGCATTTTAGAACTCGTAATTCCTGTTTATAAAAGCAGAAGGTCATTTGGGCAGCTTGCCAAATGCCACACGATGTTGACCAACATTTACGAATCCATCCTTGAGCAAGAATCAAGCCCTATACCTTTCACAGATGCTACATATTATAGGGTGGGATTTTATGGGGATAAATTTGGGAAGCTAGACAGGAAAGAGTATGTCTACAGAGAACCTCGTGATGTTCGACTGGGCGACATTATGGAGAAACTCAGTCATATATACGAGTCAAGAATGGATGGAACTACATTACATATAATTCCAGATTCTCGGCAGGTCAAAGCAGATGAGTTGCAGCCTGGAGTTTGCTATTTGCAGATAACTGCTGTCGATCCAGTCATGGAAGATGAGGATCTAGGTAGCAGAAGGGAACGGATATTCTCCCTTTCTACTGGAAGCGTCCGTGCACGGGTCTTCGACCGCTTTTTGTTTGATACTCCATTTACCAAAAATGGAAAGACCCAAGGTGGATTGGAAGACCAGTGGAAGCGACGTACAGTCTTGCAAACTGAAGGTTCCTTCCCTGCATTGGTAAATAGGCTGTTGGTTACAAAATCAGAATCGCTAGAGTTTTCTCCAGTTGAGAATGCTATTGGAATGATCGAAACTCGCACAGCTGCATTACGGAATGAACTTGAAGAGCCTCGCAGCTCTGAAGGAGATCAACTTCCAAGGCTGCAGAGTTTGCAAAGGATACTCCAAGGCTCCGTTGCTGTTCAAGTGAGTTTGGGTTATTTACTTGATCTGGTAGTTTGTGTATGGGACAATTATATTGCTTGTCGGCTATTCCTAGAATGTATTATTTTCCTTGGTTGTGACTGCCTGTCTCGTCTAGTCAAATGGTCTCTTGTTGATCGTGTTACTTGGCTCAATTACAGGTGAATAGTGGAGTTCTGAGTGTATGTACGGCCTTCCTTTCTGGTGAACCGGCAACAAGGCTGCGGTCGCAGGAATTGCAACAACTGATAGCTGCTCTCTTGGAATTTATGGCTGTTTGCAAGCGGGCTATCCGAGTTCATTTTAGATTGATTGGGGAGGAAGACCAGGACTTCCACACACAGCTTGTCAATGGGTTCCAGTCTCTAACTGCGGAATTGTCGCACTATATTCCTGCAATTCTTTCAGAGCTCTGATTGGACACTTTTTCTTTTGGGGGGTTGGGGGGGGGGGTGGGTTGGGTTGACGTTGTTCCTCCTGTTTTAAAAGTGTGTCGTGCCATCATTGTTGTGTATACAAATTGTGATCGGTAGGTATGCATATTCTGAGGTAGGTAGGTAGGTTAGTTCAGTTGATGGATTCTTCCATATGTTTCAATCTGTATTTTGTTCGTGCTAACTGGGGTGTCGTCTAATGCTGGCATTATATAATGTCTCAGCTGCTTTGCCCTGTGCAAATAGTGGACTTGTGAAGGATGAAACTCATATGATCATATCCGCCGGAGAATCTGAAAGCGATTAGGGTAACAGCAGTTTTCGAATGTACATTGCGATCCATTTTCATTTTGGGTTTGATGTACATGTTTCAAATGTTAATGTTGGACAAAGGTAAGGGTAGGAATTAGGAGGAACTGAGTGAATCCCAAAATGTGGTGGGTATCTTGTTATCAGTCACCAAATTCTGTAGTTAATTCCCCATGGTTAGAAGTGTTTCTTTTTTCACTCTTTTTCTTCTTTTTTTGGGTTTTACATTTTCCACTCTCTTCTTTCCTCAATTGCGCGCGTAATTCTCCCTCGTAACTTTTTTTTTTTTTGGTTGTTGGACGTAAGGAGTAACATTTCTTCTAAGTTATTTAATTATTGCTCTTTTTTAAATTTCAAAACTAAATGTGAATTATTATTATTATTATTATTATTATTATTATTATTATTTTTTGAGACGTAAGGAGTAATATTTCTTGGAAGTTTGTTTATAACGTATATAGATTTAAATTAAATTTTAGTTTTTATTTGTGACTTATAAGGGAGCAAGAATGCAAAGGAGTGCTTCACAACAAAGTAGTATTGTTATGAAAGTAATGAAACAAAAAAATCAGAAAGGCTTCCTTATTTGGAGGTATGATATTTGGAGTAATTGCCTTATTTTTGGATCAAATTGGTATGTACTAGTATTACTGAGTACTCCATATACTGTTGAGTGAGTTAAAAAAGTGTAACGTTGAAGAAAAGGAGCAACACTTTTAATCATCATCACTCATCAGATCTAGGGAGTCAGGGAAAGCGCAAAACAAATTATAAACCTGAGAAAGGAGGGAAGTAAAAGAGAGAGAGAGAGAGAGAGAGAGAGAGAGAGAGAGAGAGAGAGAGAGAGAATTAAATCCCATTGCTCTTAGCCTTAACCCCCTAAATCATTCTTGATTTGGTTGTTCATCTTCTTCGGTCTCCCGCAGACATATAATATATAGGTAGCTGAGTCAATCAACTCCATCACAAGATTTTTCAATTTGGTTTGATTTGGTCCTGATCCAATTCAACCAGCATTTTCCCCGCAGTTTCTGTCCTATTCTTTCATTCCACCCAAAACCCGAAATCATACATATTTCTAATCTCCTACTGGGTGTTTGTTCTTATTAGGTGGGAGCAAACCAAATTGAGTGGTGAGGTGGGCTGACAAATTTAGAGCTGGAGTCGGTTCAAGGGAATCAGGGGTTGCCGCCGGGGAACGGTAAGATCCGATATCGCTCACCATCGGCTGCTGAACTCCTCTTAGATGCCCAGCAGCCCCTGCCCCACCACCCTCTCCTAGACGGCGGCGCCGCCGGCGGCCCTTCCTCCTCCTCCTCCTCCTCCTCTTCCGCTCCTATGGAGAAGATGACCATGTTGAAGCAGCAGCGTACCAGACACCAGGATTCCTATTCCCTCCTCTTGGACAAGATCCAACGTTACCGAGGTCTCGTCCTCCTCGTTTCCCTCCCACTCCTTCTCGTCACTTTCGTTCTCTTTCTCATGCCCTCTTCCCCTACCTCCCCTTCTTCCGATTCCCTCCCTCTCCCTCGCAAGTTTTCTCCCATGACCAAGGATCGTTCCTACGCCGTTATCTTTGACGCCGGCAGTTCTGGCAGTCGGGTTCACGTCTTCTGCTTCGACTCCGACCTCGATCTAGTTCCCATTGGCAAAGATCTCGAACTCTTCGTACAGGTAAAAACTATTCCAAACATTTCATTTCATTTTCATTATTATTACACATCAATATTTATGGTTCATCACTACGTTAGTTTCCAACTTAAAAATAAAATAAAAAACTTTTTGTGACTGATACATAGATATTGAATCTTAAGAACAATTCTTCTTCAAAAATTACTCCTCCTGCATTTACAGATTAGAGTGATGTGATGAGCCGTTAAACGTTATAACAGATTATGCCGAGTATCAGAAATGAAAATGTTGCAATGTGGCACATTAGATTGAATATTTGTGTTTCCAAAAATTCGTAATGGCAACATATGATCTATGTATCCTATTGAATATCTTGTGGCGAAGGCTACATTGTTTTTCGTTTTCCCTATGTATTAGGCATTGATGATTGTTATCATATTAACAACCACTGACTAATTCTTTTTTTTTATCACTGTAGACAGTTACTGCTATAAACTTATAGCTGTTAACTGCATCATTTTGTCTTCGTTAAAATGATGATATGGAATTGTTGGTTGTTTGTAGAGAAAACCGGGTCTGAGCGCATATGCTAATGACCCGAAGGCTGCCGCAGATTCCTTGCTTGTGCTCCTGCAGAAGGCGTTAGCTGTTATCCCCAGAGAATTGATTCAGAAAACCCCAGTTAGGGTTGGGGTTAGTATTTTTACCAAACTACTGAAAATAACAGCAGTGATAAATGGCTTTTCCTTTGATGGTTTGTCAGGTTCTGATTGATTTACGATGCCTACATAGGCAACTGCAGGTCTGAGGCAATTGGGAGGAGATGCCTCGGACAGAATTCTACAAGCAGTAAGAACTATTTTCCCTTCCCATTGCATCTCATATTAATTCTCTTTGTGCCTCTTTTGCCCTTTCAAATTCAACTAACTATTGCTCTCTTTTACCTCTCAAAACAAGGTTAGGGATTTCTTGAAGCATGAGAGCACTCTAAAGTCCAAGGATGACTGGGTTAAAGTTATTGATGGAAGCCAGGAAGGTGCTTATCAGTGGGTATGTCATTCTATTATCTATTGCTTCCCCTGTTGCCGAAATTCTTGTCAATTGGATGGTTCTTTGTTTTGTAAATTTTTGCATTCAGCTAAATTTAATGGCATCTGATAATTGTTAATATATTTCTCACATTCTTAGGCTGTCTAATATACCCCTTAAATCTGCCCGTACAGGTTACAATAAACTATTTGCTAGGGAACTTGGGAAAGAAATATTCTAGCACGGTTGGTGTTGTGGATCTTGGTGGTGGATCTGTGCAAATGGCATATGCCATCTCCGAAGCAGATGCTGCAAAGGCTCCTAGACTTTCAGATGGGGAGGATGCATATGTTCAAGAAATGTACCTGAAGGGGAGAAAATATTACCTATATGTGCATAGGTATCTCTTATCTATGTTTTACATTAACGTCTTGCAATATTTTCGGAGGAGATCATGATGTACTTCATCTGTACTTTCATTGCCTAAGCTCTTATGTTGTATCAGTCAAGAAGGGTAGTTTCACAGTTGTTGATTTGTCTTCAAGCTGCCTCCTTTTTATGTCTCCAATAAAAATCTAACTTCCGTGCTCCGACTCTTTTATGATCATGTGTACAGTTACTTGCACTATGGCTTATTAGCAGCTCGAGCTGAGATATTGAAGGCTGGTGAAGAATCCAGTAATCCATGCATCTTAGAAGGCTTTGATGGTACGTCCCTTTTTTTTTTCCCCCTTCTGAGCATCCTCCAAATCTGATTTGGGATTATATTCTGTCTTCTTTTAACATGATTTTAGGTTTCATTACATAGCACATTCTAGTTGGGGAGTCTAGTTTAAAATGGGCTAATTTTCTGAAGAGCTTCCTTAGAAGCAAAAAGTTCGCTGATGTTGGATTGACTAAAGCAAATCCCTATGAATAATGTATGCATTGGGCAGAGTAATGACTACTACTGTCGAATATCACATTTGATGTCAACTTAGTATTCTTATTATCATAAATCCCTTTCAAGTTTATGTGTAAAAAAACATCTGTCCGAGTGTAAAGGGTCAATTAGGCAGATGAGGCTTTTTAAAGAAGTACTGATGCCTAACGTCAATATACTTGAAGAAAATGACAGAAATTGTGAATTTTGCATATGTTGCAAGGCTCCTTCATTATTTCCCAAGTTAGGCTACCAGCAACTGTTTTCTCACAATTGTCCAATGGACTGAAGAAAGTTTGTCTTCTGAAGGTTTTTCACCTGCTTCCAGATGTAATTTGTTGTTGCTGTGAACATAAAATTAAAACTCTGTGATGCATAGTTTGTTTATGCATCAAGCTCAGCATAGAGGATAAGATAAATGGCATATAGACTGAAGTTTTTTTCCTTTTGACCACAGGTTCTTACAAATATGGAGGGAAAGATTTTCCATCTTCAGCCTCGCCATCAGGTTCGAGCATGAACAGATGTAGAGAAGTTACTCTGAAAGCCCTTAAAGTGAACGAATCAACATGTACCCACATGAAGTGTACATTTGGTGGGGTATGGAATGGTGGAGGTGGAGATGGTCAGAAAAATCTGTTTGTCGCATCATTTTTCTTTGACAGAGCTGCCGAGGTATTTGTCCCGCTAAACAATCTTGTTGGTCTTTTCAGCATTTTGCAATGCCAATGCTAATCACATGATGATTTTCCCATGGAGACAGGCTGGTTTTGTTGACCCGAGTGTCGCTGTTGCGAAAGTTCATCCTGCCGACTTTGAGGATGCAGCTAAGCGTGCTTGCCAGACGAAACTTGAGGATGCTAAATCCACATACCCTCGGGTGGAAACGGAGAACCTACCCTTCTTGTGCATGGATTTAGTGTATCAGTTTACGCTGCTTGTAGATGGGTTTGGTGTGTATTTAATATCTTTGATACTGGAAATGATAGTCACATTTTGTTTGGAAGCAGATACTAATTAATCCTGTGTGGTGTCATGTTCTAACAGGGCTTGATCCATGGCAAGAGATAACCTTGGTGAAGAAAGTGGAGTATCAGAACTCGCTAGTTGAAGCAGCATGGCCACTAGGTAGTGCCATTGAAGTAGTGTCTTCTTCCTCTGCATAAAGTAGCTGAGTTGAGCTGGGGAGTTCAGAGTAGTTTTTTTTGTCATTCTGGGTAACATTCATGCATTATTTTTGACTCTTCTGACAGTATCCCTCTGTCCGGCTGGAAGAATATATATATACATATGTATTTCAATCCTCTCTCCGGTATACACACAGACTCATCGATTTATGATTACATTTATAAGAAAGAAAGATTTTACAGTGCCCCATGTCTTGCTCTTGGTCAGATGAATACAAGAATTCGGCAAACTGAGAAACGTATGCTTGTGCCATTTTCTTTCATTTTATAGTTTTTGATTAAATAAGATTGAGCTTCAAATAATCCTAGTGGTGAGCTAGATGATATGAACACAAATACTAAACCTATTTTAACAAACAGAAGAATGACATACACATTTGGCAATTAAACAAGTCATTAGAGAATGCATGCATACTTTTGATCAGCTTCAATTATCTAATCTTATTATCATCATAGTCTTCTTGTTCAACCAAACTCAACAAAATCTTCTAAAATAAGCACACAGTGCAGTGTGAATAATGATGCAGCAATCAAAGAAAAGAACCCAAGAGGGGGAAGATTAATCAAAATTAAAGAAAAACAAAAATTCATTCATACGATGAAGCCGCCTCATCTAAGCTTCTCCTTTCCGGCGCTTCTCTTAGCTGCTTCCTGGACCTTCTCTAAGTATCCTTCGATGGGAGGGGTCAAAGTCGCCATGAATCGGTTAATCGGAAACGGTGTGAAATCCGGAACCAAAGCAGCAGCCTTCAACTTCTCCGGCAAGGCCTCAATCGCCTCTTTCTTACACCTCAGCAATGCAGTCTCAGCAGCTTGCCTAGCTCTATGCTTCCTCATCAAAACCCTAGAATACTCCTTGGCAAGCCGCCGGCCATCCTCCACGGTCAACTCATACGCCGGGATCTTATCCGCATCCACTAGGCCCAAACTTATCAAATCCAGTCCGCCCGGGAGGCCCATCAGAAACGGCGCGTCGAACTCGTTCTTCTTCTTCGCCATTTTCTTCCACTTCTTCTGCTGTTCTTCCATCGCCTTGCTTTTCAGACCCATTTTCTCCCGTTCGGCTTCCCGGGCTTTCTCGTCGGGTTTCAGGTATCGGATCGGGGGAGCTGAACCCAGGCATTCATCAACCAGCTCGTCGAATTCGGACCTCCGTCGGGGCCCACCTCCTGCAGGCGCTGCTGTTGTTTTTTTGGTGGTTACTTTTGATCTCTTCAATGGCTTACCTTCCTTAATCTTGCCCTTCCCTTTCGCTGTTCCGCTCACCCAGCACCTTTGCAGTAGTTGATAGTAGCTCTGCCCCGACTCCACCATCGATGAACCCGAACCCGAAATCGAAGCCAAAGCCTTCATTTTTCCAATCCCCAATCCTCCTCGCTGGATCATTTTTGCACAAACCTCAAAGATTAACTGTTCTCGTCGGAGGCCGGCGATTGGCAAAACCTTCGTATATTTATAGATTTCACTTGATTTAATGGGCCTAGGCTTTTATATTTATTATTGGGCTCTAAAGGAAGTTTTGGACCCATTTTCTGAAGCTTAAAATGGCCCACATAAACTTAACGCAAACACAATGATGAGGCCCACGTAGAGCGTATCCATCTCCCCCATCCGCGACCGCGAGAGCAATAATATTCAAATTTCAAAGAAGGTAATAATTGCTCGTCCGTTCACCGCCGGCCGGACGGTCGCATATCTTTTGGCAGAAGCGGGCCATTTCTGAAGGATTGTGAAAAAACCTTCATAGAATCAATCAATCAATTAAGTAGGAAAGGAAAGAAAAGGGATTTAATTTCATTTGATTAGAAAATGGAGCTGGAGGAAGAGGATGATTGGAACTTGAGCGCGGAGGAATTGGACTCTCTGGAGAAGCACGCCTTCCAACAGATTGCCGAGCGGAAGTCCTCCTCCACTGCAGCATCTTCATCTTCGTCTTCTTCCACACTTCATCCTCATCATCAAAATCTGCTGCAGGTAAAAAGCCCTAATCCTCTCGGCAACAACTTAATGTCAAGTATATTTCCTTTTGATGCTTGGCAAGTTTTACGACTTGCTCTGCCGTAATTGTGATTTATCTTTTTTTTTTGGAAGCTAAAGAAAAAAGAAAGAAGATAATAGGTTCTTCTCTGTTTCAATTTATGTTAGTTTCTTTTAGGGTTTAGAAAACCCCGCGCGTAGTTAATTAATCTGTTTTGGTTGTTCTTCCACTACTAGTCTGCGATTATGAAGTAAATTTTAATCTTTGTTCTGGTTATTTTTTTTATTTAGTTTTTTTAAAAAATTTACTTTGTTGTTTCCTTCCGGTTATTCTTTATCATTTTCCACATGATGGAGGTATAAATTAGTCTCTTTGTTGAGCCAAGTGTGGATGTTTGGTGTACATTTGTTTCAGGCGAATCGGATTAATCCTTCACCTCTTGGAGCCAAAAAATTTCCACCCTCCTCTACGCTGTCAAATATGACTGGTAAGTTTGTGTTTATTTCCCTGCTTGACTAGCTTATTTCTCTTTAATGGTTCTGCATTGATTGTTTGTGGATGGATGTATCTTTTGAAGCCGATGAATCGAAGCAACAGCTACCTAAAGTTTTTGTCAAATTCTTCCTGCATGCTAGTGGACACATAGCTGCGAAATTTCCATATGATGCGGTACGATCTCAATCAGATTTTAAAAGCAGGCCTTTGATTGCTCTTCATATTGTCGTGTTCATGCTTTCATTTCACATATTGGACTTCTATTTCTTTGTCAGTTACTTGTAAAAGCATTCCACAATATCCCCAAAGCCACCTGGAATGGAAAAGAAAGGTTCTTCCTTCTTTTCCCTTGAATTCTTGTTGCAATTGTGAATTTGTACTCTGCTGACTGTAATGCCTAGTATTTATGATTTCCTTTGATTGAATGCAGATTGTGGATGTTCCCCATGTCATCTCTTCCATTAGCGGAGAAAGTTCTTAGCGATGTATCTGGCTCCAATGTTGAGGTGATTCTGTTCAACATTTTTTATGGAGAATTATTTAAGCATATTTTACAAAGTATAATGTTCTTATCTACTTAACAAATTCCTCATGTCTGAGAATAGGAGTAGTTTGATTTTAATTTGGGTATTCTTACATTTTCTGTTCTTTCCCCTTTTGACATAGGTGGAAAATTTGGATCCTTTAGTATACCGGGCTATTGCTGCGGCATTTGCAGTTCCAGATCTTCGAGGTATAATTTTCTGATTCTTTAGCTCATTATTGATTTTGGCTTAACCACAAGGAATTCTTCACTGCAGAATGACAAGTAAATAGTTTCATCTTGTTTTTTTCAGTTGGATTTTCACGATCTGTTTATCACTTATTCTTTCAGTGATACTCTTAAGCACCCTGTTCTGTTGCAACTATTATTTTCGGTTAGATTTTCGTTTCAGAGAGTCAAAATTGTATCGTCTCATTGTTACATATTCTGACTTAAATTTTCATTCGTTAAACAGGTCGATATGATTTAATACCCCTGAATATTGAATCAAGGCTCCTACCTTTCCAGCGGGATGGAGTTAGGTGCTTAAAATACCATGTCACTTATTATGGTTTTGTAGCTTCAATAATAAGTAACAGTAAATCATAATTTATGTTGTTTGGTTATTTGAAGATCCTGAAGCCTTCATTTTCCTCAGATTTGTGTTACAACATGGAGGGCGTGCCCTCCTTGCTGATGAGATGGGGCTCGGGAAGACTCTTCAGGTAAACAATGTATTGTTTCTTTTGTAAACTCTCTAAACTCGTTCAGTCTAAGCGCACTTGATGACAGGCTCTGTTAGAGTTAGAGTGTATTAAATTTTTCAGACAGCTGAATGTTTGTTACCGGAAATGGAAGAGCACTTATGTGTCAGAAGAGTTTTGATTCTGTCTGCATGGAACAGATTTTAAAAAAAAAATAAAAAAAATCTGCAAATGACTTGTTAAATTTACTCTTTCTCTACCCTGACTTTAACCATTTAAGAAAATTTATTAGAGCCGCTAGCAACTTTGTTAAAATATGATTTATACCTTTTGAGGTAGCAGTTTGAGTTGACTGGTGCAACACTTCTATATTTCTATCCTCATAGTTTTATAGCTGACCAGGCTATTCAAGTATTCATTGCTAACTTTGCCTCAAATCTGCAGGCTATTGCTGTTGCCTCTTGCATCCGTGAAGAATGGCCTGTTCTTGTTCTCACTCCATCATCCTTGAGGCTTCACTGGGCTGCTGTGAGTTTATCTTTGTTATGGTTTCAGCTTGGGTATAATTTCCGTTACTAATTCCCTGATTCCGCCTCTAGATGATTCAAGAGTGGCTCAACATACCCCCGTCGGATATATGTGTAAGTTAATTTCTTCTCCAATGTTATGATGCTGTCATCCTATTATTAGATAATGCTTGTACTTAATTGCTGTGCTGGATGAATTCCATGGTTTGTGTAGAATTCGATCCGTCTAAAAAATCCACTATTTCTGTGTCAAAATTGGGTATCTGCTTTCAGAATGCTCAATCTCAGATGCATACTGAAGGAGCAGTTTGTAAAAGTCGGGACAGATAAACTTGTGAATAAGTTTAATTCTTCGAAACTTCAGTGGCAATTTGTATGAAGACTTGTTTGTCTTCTTTGCTTTCATGTGGTATATTCTAAGATCAATAAGAACAAGAATCAATACAACCTTTGGTAGCAATTAATGTTATTGAGAAACGTTGATCTGGTTTATGTAAGTGAACATTAATACAAAATGATTAGGCGGAACATCAGTTGGAATATAAGGATAGATGCCTCCGTTCTTGATCTGTTGCTGTCCTCCATCCACCCTGCATGCTCTAGTTTTAAGCTAATGACATATTTAAACAAATTTCTAAGCATGCATTTTTCGTGCTTTGTTTTCCCATTGTTATCCTGTTATGTAATAGAATTTCATTGAAGATTGTATCGCTTGAAGAAATCTTAACCTTAAAGCTTCTTTAAATGTACCCTTACAGTTTTAAATTATCTTTCTGATGAAATATACATGGGCAGGTGGTCTTGTCACAATGTGGTGGATCAAACAGGGGCGGATTCAATGTGTTGGCATCAAATTCTAAGAGATCCATCCAACTTGATGGTGTATTTAACATCATTTCTTATGATGTTGTTCCCAAGTTTCAAGGTGTATTGATGAGTTCCGAATTTAAGGTCTGTGCATGTGAAAATTGAAGCCCCATATGATTGTTCGACCTCTGAAGTTCTTAAACTGTATTTGACATCCTCTATAACTCTTTGTTTTCAAAAGACTCATTTGATTGTTGGTGATGCTGTTGATCCCCTGTTTTTCCATCTGTCTTCCTGTTTCTGTTTTCAGTCTTCCCTTAAATACTTTTTCTTCTCTTTTTACCATAGATTATGTCTTTATGCAGGTGGTTGTTGCAGATGAATCGCATTTTTTAAAAAATGCTCAAGCTAAAAGGACAAATGCCACAATTCCTATATTGCAGGTCGTTCTTGGACTCTCTTCAGTCTGTGACTTGGAATGAGTAGGACAAGTTGGAGTGATGGAAGTCATTTATTTATTTATGAACCTTCACCTCATTTCAAAATTAAAAATTAAAAAATAACATAAAAACACCTAAATTTTCTCATTAGAATTTCCCAGATGAAGTTTTGTAGACCAGAGCTTCTTTCCCTTCTCTTTCTTACACCACCGTGTTTATAATTTGTAGAAAGCTCAATATGTGATCTTGCTTAGTGGAACTCCAGCTTTATCACGGCCCATTGAGTTATTCAAACAGGTAACTACTACTTTTCAACTTTTTTTTTAATTATATTTATTCCGATGTCTTCCTCTCTGCATTTGAAGATTCATTTCTTACTTATTTGGATTTCTGAAACTGAATTTGACAGCTCGAAGCCTTGTATCCGGGTGTATATAAGAGTGTCCATGATTATGGTAATCGCTACTGCAAGGGAGTAAGTTGAATAATCCATTGGTATTTTTTAAAATATAATTTCGTTATACATGTGCTACCATTCATTTTAACATGATACAACGACAAGCCTTTTTCCACTAGGTGGGGATTTTAAAATGATCTTTCCCGATAATATGTAGGGTGTTTTTGGAGTCTATCAGGGTGCTAGTAACCATGAGGAGCTACACAATTTGATGAAATCAACTGTGATGATTCGGAGACTTAAAAAAGATGTCCTTTCTGAGCTTCCTGTAAAGCGGCGCCAACAGGTATCCGCTTTACGTATTTGCTTTGTTATGTGGTGTACTTTCTCTGACTTCTGCTTGAGTTACTAGCACGTGTGCACCATTCAAAAAAGTGGCATTTCGAATGCAGATGGTTTTGATTTGGAAAATATAGAGGCACTTTTCTTTCTTGGTCATTTTAAAGTAAATGTGTCATCCATGTTCATTTTTTGTGCTGATGTCAAGTATCCAAATGTGGCCATCCTCTTAAATTCCATGTTTTAATCTTCTGTCTTCGTAGTATACCTTCATGCTTGTGCTCATAAAATGTTTGAAGTTGTTGCTTTTGCGTGGTAGTGACTCATTCATTTATATATATTTGGAGAATGATCAATGTACATTTACTCTTTCTTCAGGTTTTCTTGGAACTAGGAGAGAAAGAGATGAGACAAGTTAATGCCCTATTTCGTGAGGTGATGATCAATGTTTCTGATTGTTCTTTTTTTAGCGGAACTACCATTTTTCCCGAAGAAGCTAAGAGACATAATTGCACGTGATGTTTTCCTATGTAAACCACTGAAGTTTCTAAAATTCAGGAGTAAATTGATTCTTTTGGCATCCTCAACCTGATCAATCAGGCATTCCTTTCTTTTACATATTAGAATCTCATATTCCTAGCTGTAATTCCTTGTTTCCCCTTCCATAAGAATGAACAGTTCTCTCTTAAAATTTGACTATGAACTTCTTCCTTTCATATGCTTAATTAGTTTTGCAGTTTAACGGTCGTTATTGCTGCTTAATCATTTATAAAGTTTGAAGAGGAATCTATTTATGTACTTTCCTATGCTGTAGTTGGAGGTGATTAAGAGCAAAATTAAGGCATGCAAATCTAAAGAAGAAGCTGAATCACTTAAGTTTTCAGAGAAGAATCTCATTAATAAGGTAAGAATGATTCAGGCTTCTGTTTCTCTTTAGCTATTTTTCTCTTGTCCATACACATATGTAGACGCCAACTCTTCTAACTTTGGGTTCAGCCATGTTATACATTTTTATTTTTTGTTCCCTTTTGTTCTTTTAACGTCTGAATGTGTTCTACTGGGCATTTAATGACTGCACAGATATATACTGAATCTGCGGAAGCCAAGATTCCTGCCGTTCTGGAGTATTTGGGAACTGTCATTGAGGTATGTTGACATTTATTCTTGCAGCATTCCTGTTCAGTTAAGGGCATTGATTGTAATTTTGAAAATCTTTCTTGTTCATTTTGCAAAAGTGCATCATCAAGAAGGATATGGTTGTCAATGGTTTCAATACTCTCTGTAGTTGTATAGATAGCCAAATTAAAACTTGAACCAAAGTTTTCCTTTGTTAAATATGTCTTTCAATGTTTCTTTCCTCTTTCTTTTCTATTCCTTACCGTCATAAGCATATAAATTCCAAAAGATAAACATGCAAAGATGTAAAGAAAATACTGTGCTTGTCATTAACAGAGGCTCTTCGCTCTTGCAACTTCTTAGCATGTCATATTTTGCTGACTTCCACTGCAACTGCGATTGATTCTATTATATTTGCTTCTGGGATGGAGAATGAGGCTACTCATGTTCCTTTAATAACAATCATAATATGCCGCTGCTCTCTGAATGTGTGTGCTCATGAACATGCGGATAGCTAATGTAATGCTTTTCTGTTCATTGATGTTGGTTGTTGTTAATGAACAGGCAGATTGCAAATTTCTCATATTTGCACACCATCAACCCGTGATTTCTGCGATACACGAGTACCTTCTTGTAAGCCTTCAAATCTAACACATTCGCATCTGGAGACATATACAATCTCTACTTGACTACCTTTTTTCTGCAGAAGAAAAAAATCGGTTGCATCCGTATTGATGGTGGGACTCCTGCTGCGTCAAGGCAAGCTTTAGTAACAGACTTCCAGGAGAAAAGCTCTATAAGGGCAGCTGTGGTATTGTACATTTGACTCTTTACTCTTCATTGAAGATTACACTTATTTTCAAAAGTATTTTTCGACTTCCAACTGGGAGTTGGAACTCGACAATGGTTTGTGGTGGAGAGTAACTCTTGTAAATGTGGTTTTTGCAGTTATCTATTAAAGCTGGTGGGGTTGGGTTAACCTTGACAGCGGCTAGCACAGTGATATTTGCCGAGTTGGCTTGGACACCAGGTGACCTTATTCAGGCCGAAGACCGTGCTCATAGAATTGGCCAGGTAATTTTCTTGAACCAAAACATTTCATCTCCCTCTGCATTTTTACTTTTATCTCATCTTTTGGGGTTGCACAGGCCAGTTTCTTGTGATCTGCATATCCCTCTTGCCTAATAATTCCCAATTCTTTGACTAGTGTCTGGGTTTTTGTGACTGGGTTGATTTCCATGTTTAGGTATCGTCTGTCAACATATACTATCTTCTTGCAAACGACACGGTTGATGATATAATCTGGTAAAACTCATTGATTTTTGCTTTGGATGGTGTATTCTTTCAATTATGTTTTTTCTCGTTGTTCCTTCCTGGTAAAAATCATTTCCTACTTGATATGTGCAGGGATGTTGTCCAAAGCAAATTGGAGAATCTAGGACAGGTACATGTTTTTCTTTCTTTTTCCTATCCTTTCCAATGTCAGTTGGCTCAACAGCAAATCCAACTCCCCTCCCTGCCTTAGTGCTATGAGTGCTATGAGTGGTTAGATTTCATTTGTTGTTATGATTGAAAATTTATGCCAATTAATTTACAGATGCTTGATGGCCAAGAGAACACCCTGGAAGTTTCAGATGATCAGAAATACAATAGTCCTACAAAACAGAGGACGCTTGTTTCAGGTGATAAAAAATACAACAGTCCTACCAAACAGAGAACGCTTGATTCCTTCATGAAGCGTTGCAGCAACAGTCCCTCCTCGGGTGAGGAGGAACCAACACTCAAACACGCCAAGTATTACTAATGCTTACTTGGTTACATGAACCTTTGTGTATAGATATTGGCAGTTGATAGGTGATGTGGTGGTGACTTTTGTAATCATGTGTTGGAGGATTGTCTTCGTACAAATGGGGATGTTTGAGATGATGTGAAAAATGTAATTTTGTAGATTAAATAGTCCTCCATTTTTGGCTTTTCTTGCTTTTATCTTTTCGTTGTTGGCTGCCAAATTCATGTTTACGACTAAAGCCAAGCATTTGTAGAGTGGTGTCGAATGAGGAGAAGCAGAATGGAAGAAGTCATAGCCATTGTTATTACTTGGTATGCGGGTGAATTGAAATAAAAATGAAGCAATGAATGACAAATTTGAAGTGAATGACTACTTACCCTCATCATCCATCAATAATCAGTGAACGCTGAATCACAACATTTGAAAAGGTGATTCTTGACTTCTTGGGTAAATGAGTACTCGAGGCAATTAAGGTATGGATCAGAAATGATAGATATAAGACAGACAAAACGGTGATGGCGTTATGGCGGTAGCGAGAAGTGTAAGAAAGGGTGGAAATTTCCTTCACACTCTCCCTTACTCTTATATGTATTTGTCATTACTGTCTTTGGTAAATTTCCCCTTACCTTTCATTAATTTGGCTGCCTTCACTTAGCCCAAACATTCCCTGCCTTTATTATTTCCCTTGTATTTGTGACCAACATTACTCCAATTTTCTTTCTCCATCCAACGACGTTACCATCATCTGCTCCATCACATTCATTCTTCCCTCCCTTTTCACTTTGCTCTTATTTCATTTCAGGTAATTTTAACTCCTGCATGTATTTTGTAAGAATAGGCTTTCTCTCCTGTCCCTTGTTTATTTGATGATTTACTTGTGATGCTATTTGAGTCACATCAAATGACATGACTCATTTGACGTGATTATTCTTTTCATTGCATTTAGTTTGGGTCTAATTATGATTGAACACGATTATGACACACCAACTCTACATGCATTGACAGTAACAGCTAAACTTTTCCCGGCTTAGCTGGAGGAACGTCCAACAATGGGGATGAAAGTGATCATCATCTTACTGCAGCTGTTGTTTCTGCTTTATAATGTTCCGGGTTACAGCAGCACTGATAGTACTACTAGTTCAGGTGATCTCAACAAATTTCCATCTAGCAAAGTTGTAAGGATCAGACTGAAGAAGCGGCCATTGGACCTTCACACCTTGGATTCAGCCAGGATCTATGCGAGACACGCCGCTACTAATGTCAGCAGTACAAATAACATTATTGCTGGAGCACAAGATGAACGAGATGTATTGTACTTGAAAAATTACTTGGATAATCAGTACTATGGGGAAATCAGCATTGGTACACCACCCCAACACTTTGATGTCGTCTTTGATACTGGCAGTTCTAATCTCTGGATCCCTTCTTCCAAGTGCTTCTTCTCTGTAAGTTTACTGATGTTTCATTGGAAGTAATTTATGATGAGAGCTTTGGAAGTATATGTAGATTTATGAACATCATTTTCCATACACACGCACCCAAACAACATAAAATGAAACTTGCAGGTTGCTTGCTATGTACACTCCAAGTACAGATCAAAGCTATCACATACCCACACAGAAATAGGTAAAAAATGAAACCACATTTGATCAGGGTTTACTCAACTTGTTATTGCATTGACTGCTTCTTTTCTTTTCTTTTTTTAATCGATTTTTCTTGGTACACAAATACTACGTAGGAAATCCTTGCAAAATACCTTACGGGTCAGGGTCCATTTATGGATTCCTCAGCAGAGATAATTTACTACTTGGAAATATTACAATCAAGGGGCAGGTATGTACTTTCCTTCCTTACCGGTCCAAACTTTTAATTTATTATTATTATTTTTTTTTTCACAATAGCTAGTGGTTTCTCAGGGTTAATCAGTTTAATCTATATCCATCAGGTGTTTACAGAGGCAACATGGGAAGGACTGTTCACATTTTTACTTGCACAGTTTGATGGTATACTTGGACTTGGATTTCAGGACATTGCTATTGGGCAAGTGACTCCAGTTTGGTATGTTACTGTTTACTTCATTCCACTGGTTTTCTTCAAGGGTCTAGTGAAAAAAACAGGAGGAGCTTTACAGAAACTTACTTGAATGAATTCAATATATCGAAACTCAGTAAAGCTGCGCTGGATGGCAAGTACAACTGACCTCCAGAAAGTTGTATCTCAAACAAATTGATGATAAAAATGAATGACTCCTGACTAATGCTTGATCTTGTCGATCTGTATTGACTCATGAGTCATTGAATTGTGAACCAGTGCAGGTACAATATGGTGCAACAGGACCTCGTTAGCCTGCAAATGTTCTCATTTTGGCTAAACACAGATCCAAAGTCGAAGCTGGGCGGTGAGATTCTGTTTGGAGGTGTGGATTGGTCACATTTCAGAGGTCATCATACTTATGTTCCCATCACTCAAACCGGTTACTGGCAGGTATATTCAGAATTCATTAAACAATGCAAGGAAAAAAAAGTTAAAATGTCCATTAGCTTTTCTCAATTCTTTTATTTTTATTTCTTGTTAGATTGAGGTTGGGGATGTACTTATTGGAAACAACTCAACAGGTAACTCTATATACCTCTTTGTTACATTAAATCATCAGTACAAAAACAATGTTAAGAAACTCGATTGGACATATGGAAACATAATGAATGCTTGATTCTCGTCATCAACCTTAGAGAACCAGAACCTGCAAATAATATTGAAACTTGCCTTTAATTTTACATATGATTAGGAACGCTTGCTTAATATCTGAAATGATCATTTCAGATAAAAGTGTATATGAAAATGGCAATATTTAGATTTGTCATGCACGTATGAATCTTGCAAATTAAGAAGGCTGACAAAACCTCTCATTTTCTTTCTCACCATTACTTTAATTTCAGGTCTTTGCCAAGATGGTTGTGCTGCGATCGTGGATTCTGGGACATCTTTTATTGCTGGTCCAACAGTATGCAGTAGTCCAACCATTACTTTGTTTTTAACTGTATCCCAATTAAGTTCTCAACTTATTAAGCTCCTTTGATTTAAACATTTCCAGACCATTTTGACTCAAATAAACCTCGCAATTGGAGCTGAAGGAGTAGTGAGCTTGGAATGCAAAACCGTCGTTTCATCTTATGGGAATTTGATTTGGGAAAAGTTACTATCAGGAGTAAGATTCATCCCCACTGCCCTTGATTGTATTAGTGGGTTCATACTTGGCGTTTTCTTCTCTTCCCTTAGTGTCCTTTTATGATATAGTCCCTCCATCTCATTTTAATGTACCGCTGTTTTAACATTGAAGTTCAAATTACTGAGTTTTGTCTGATGGTCTATGCAGCTTCAACCAAAGAAATTGTGTTCTCGAATAGGGCTTTGCTTGTACAAGTCTTCTAAATATTTTAGGTAAGTTCGTTAACCCTAGCTACATCATGATGAGTTGAACAAAAATGAAAGTATCTGATATCCAACAGAAATCCAAACGAATAACTACAAAGATAGTGAAATCATCAAGTAATATCATATGTGATGTGCACGAAAAGACATAAAGGCTAGGTATCGTATTTGGAAGATGGTTGTTGTTACAATTTGCCAACTATGAACATTCTTTGGCTCTGATGAATTTTTCATTTGTTGTCGATATATACGCATCTGTTTGTACAGTCCAGGAGATGAGAATGCTTTATGTCCATTCTGTGAGATGGTAGTGTTCTGGATGCAAGTTGAACTAAGAAAAAAGAGAACCAAGGAAAACGTATTCAAATATATTAATGAGGTAATTATTAGAGCCTTGCCCCCATATAATTTTAGCCTCCTTGTTATTCTAGAGTGAGTGAGTAATTTGTTATTTATAAATTGACACATACACATTTTGGATCTGCGTGCCATTCGAAAAGCTTTGTGAGAAGTTCCCAAATCCAAGTGGAAGAGCTTTTATTGACTGTAAGAGTGTTGCTACTTTGCCTCATATGTCAATCACTATTGGTAACAAGTCATTCCCGCTTACCCCTCAACAGGTACTTTTATTTTGGCTTAGGAGTTAGGATCTATCGATTGATCTTAATAATGACTTCACCATTACATTTTGTTGACGCAGTATATCATTAGAGTTCAACAAGAAAACCTCACTGCTGTGTGTCTTAGTGGTTTTGCTCCTCTGGATGTGCCTCCTCCCAGAGGCCCCCTCTGGTTAGTTGTTCGTCCGCAAATCAAGAATATTTGCTTGGTCATTGTAATTCGAAATGATATTTATCAAAACACACACACACACACACATTATATTCAGGAGGAAGAAAAGATTGGAAGAAGAATAATACGAGTACTAAATCTTAAATGTGTTTTGCTGTACATTTTCCGCAGGGTACTTGGAAATATATTCTTGGGTGCATACCATACTGTATTTGATTTTGGTAATTCACGAGTCGGATTTGCACAAGTGTTGCGAGACAGCTCTACTCAAGTCTTGTAGAAACTATCAAACCTTGGACTCCTTTTCACCTTCTTCTCTCCCCCCTGTTAAGCTTCTACATTTTGATCAGTTTAGTGTTTAGTTTTTGTTTTGATTCATTTGTCGTACAAAGTTGCTATATAAGCTATCTCGAATTTCTCTTCTATAAATGTAAAGAATTGTGAAATTCACCAAATGACTACCACCACCTTAATTTAGTTCCCATTTCTAACTCCAGAATTTTAAACCAGCCCCCAACCAAAAAAAAAAAAAAAAAAAAAAGAAGGAAAATATCTTCTTAGGATTGCATTTTATCTTTCACTTCCTCCTACAGTAATATTTCCCCAAAGGTATAACTTTCTTATCTGACAGCCTTATAATGATATTATTATGATTTACGAAGATGCCATACAAGTTTCGGCCACTTTATATTATGATTTATGAAGATGCCATACACAGTTTCTCTACCTTGATTTTTTCCACTGGAGACTGATAAACGTTGCACCCATTTCAACAGTTTCTAACTTTTTTAGAACCAGTGCACATTTGAAAATGAAAGAAAATCTTTATTCAAAATGGTTATCTTGTTTGAATTTTCATCTTTCGTACAATTTGTACTAAAAAATATTAGAACTGAGATTCCGAACAACAATCCTTTCTGAACAGAGAGATTATCAGTCAGTAGTAAAGAATAAAGATTTTGAAACGGACATTACAGTAATATGGTATTTACCTAAATCCTCATCCTTGCTGCTACTGCAATGTTCATTCATTCAAAAGATGAACTAAAAGAATATACATAAAGATGTGCTTTAATACAAACACTGCACATTCAACGTAGAAGTACAATCGTTAGAAAGTAAAAGGCCGACATCAGATTTCTGTTCCCTACTGCTACTAGCTGGGGAAGTTTACAACAGTAAGAGTCCGCAGTCCCCCAGGCCTCTAACAACCACACAGACCCAAACCAAGCAATAACAACCCGAAAAATGGCAAAGAAAACAAAAGGGAAGAGAGGAAGTAAAACAAATCAAGCAGACACTTTACACTAAGAAGAACCACAATCCGATGATATGCACATCTCAATGTAATAAGAATATAGGGGACGGGGTGCAAACTAAAAATCACAGAAGCCGCACATCCAAGGGGAGAAAAGAGAAAAAAAAGAAAATCCCCGTGCCATTCTCCAATAAAATCTCTCCCTTTTTGCAACCACCAAAAACCTGCTCAAAAGGGTGCTGTGGGATACAACTGTAATAGTCTCCTTCCTGCTGGAGCTGGTGGCGCCAACCCAGGGATATCCCGTATGCTTTTGTTGTTGGGATTGACGATCTAGGAATCACACAAATACCAGTCAGATGCAATGGACGTGTAATAAATATCTTACCCCCCCACACGAATCATGGAGGAAAAAGAGGGTGCATTGTCATACAACTAATTACAGACGAATTCTCTGAACCAACGAAATTAGCCAAAGAAGGATGCGTAGACATTATTGCCCAAAAAAACTAAAACTTTGATTCCTTTAAACGTCAAGGCCACTTGACACAGTCCACTAGCCACATTTTCCGCAAACACTAAGGAGGCTTATATCATCCAACAAATTTAGCCGGAAAAAGACCTAATGTTGCACGAATCCAAATGCTGCAATCATAAAAGAATAATGACAAATATAAACATGGAATTACCTTAACGACAATGATTGCAATCACTCCACAGACAATCAGGAAAAGAAATAACATGATGCACTTATCCGTAGCCACCTGAAAGAAAAAGAGAAGCGCATTGATGAAAATGAGGACTTGCGGCACCCAATTCAAAAGCAAGGCAGAATTAAAGGAAATGCACCTGCCGGCCAATCTCCTTGACAAGTTGTGATGCCTTCTTCAGTGAGAACTGAATGGTATCTAACTCGTTGACAATGCGACCCATTTGGTCAGTCTGTGTAAGTTACGGAAAAGATATAAGATTCAAACCAGCAGCCCCCATGAAAAAATCACATAATAAACACATAGAAAAGCAAACTTACTTGGCCCTTCAAGGTGGTAGCAGTTTGCGTCCCCACTTCAATTGTTTGATGAACCACCTAAAAATCTGCTGGTCAATTGCAATTCAGAAGAACTCCATCTTCAAAAGCAAGAGAAACCTAAAGATTCACCTGCTTGGAGCGTTCAATGGCCTGATCAGTTTCATCCATAGTCTTCATTCCAGCATTGACAAGCTCCTGATTTGACATAGCTGCACAAAAACCAATATCTAAGTCAGCAGTAATTCACCACGCTTCGTTCCAAGCGGACTGCAGTATCCTCATGGCGTGAAATAAACGATAAAACATATACAAACTTCTCTCATATATAATTACAGTATTCACATATGAAATAACAAACGAAACCAATGCAAGCATCTCTCACATATTATTTATGCTTTCTATCATTCTACTCTAAAATAGAACACTATCAAGACATACACCTGGGTAAAAAGGAACTACCTGATGCCATCTGAACATTTTCTTCAGCTGTAGGTTCGCTAGCACCTGCTCCCATATCAAAAAGTTCAACCCTCTTGTTGCCGAGACTGCTCATATAACTGCAATTTACCACAGAACATCATCCCGAAATGTTTGTGGTGCAAGAAAATAGAAGGAGAGGGGGTTTGAATACGAAAAGGGAAAAAGCTTGCTGAAAAAAACTCACGTTTTCCTCAAGGCCACATAGGAGTTCAGCTCTTTGATCTGCAAAAGAAAACAAATAAACTTGAGCTATATTTACATCTATAGGTATGCCCTGAAATTTTATTCACATCATATTTCCCAAACACCCTTAAATAACTTTGGAGCTAGTAAGTGATAACAAGTGCACAAGTTTTACCATGGACTGCTTCTCATCATTAAGCTGTTTATTTACTTCCGCAGAATTTCTGGTCTCCTCGTCTTTAATTTCACGGTCGAACTCTTTGATTAATCTATAAAAATAACATAACATTATCAGTAAACGTACTGCAGAAGAACCTTTAAAAGGTTTTATTCAATGCAAAATAGCAGGATTGAAAGCTTTGAGCATTACTTCACCTCTCACAAAGCACATACCGTTACATTTTTTGCAGAGTAACCAAAATGAATAAAATCAAACAGAAAAGATGAAAAAAAAAAGGAAAATAACCTTTTACACTCCCTCATTTTGCCAGTAAGTTCTTCGAGCTGTTTACTTTGTCTGTTGGAGTCCTTGATCTTATCCAGCTTCTGGAACCCATTTCTGAACAACCAAAATCCCTTTGATTACCAAACAATTTGATGGAAAACCAAGCCACCACTCATAAACGAAAAGAAATGTTAAAAGAAGTCAATATATCATCACAAATAATTTGCTCCAAAGTGACAGACTGGCTCGGTTCATGCGAGCTACACCTTTGCTTGCATTCCTAGTAGAAAGAAGGGGGACAGATGCAATAATACAAGTATCATCCTACAGATGACACTGTCTGTGGATGAAGGACTCAAGTGCAAGGAAATTAAAAGTGAATAAATTAATTTAGAAAAACCAGTTCAATGAGGGTACTGCTAGAGAGTCCATCATAATAGTCCAACTCTGACACAAATTATTGTTTTCTGAATTCAAACCATTGTCGGACAGGGTTGCGCATATAAAAAAGTTGATTTTAGATCAAATGCTCCAAATAATGTGTACCAGTCGTGTTCCATAGTTAAAACATCGTAGTGTCACTAACAATATTAACCTTAACATAAAATGCATACATCCTATTCACAAAGAAATAACCAGGGACAAGGTTATTAATTGGAACATAAACTCCCCCGCAAATTATTTCTTATAATGAACATAGGAAAGGGAGCCCTCTTTCAAGTAAATAAAACAAGAAACAAAACAAACAACCCTGAGCACTGCTGTTTTTTGCAGGGTAACACAGCAGAACAGGTGCAAATTTGCTAAACCCTGACGAATGGGTCTCTATCAACTCAAGAGCTTGATTATTTCACGATATTTTCTGAAACAAATTCAAACAACTTTAGGACTGCCAAACTATTTCCCATCACAACCGTTTAAATTAAGCCAAATAAGGGCAAAAAATTCAATTTCCCTAAATCCCATAGTAGATAAACAGTAAAAACTATCCATACGTAACAAAAAAGCCCTATAGGTGTGGTAACATAAAGGAGGAACACGAGAGAGAGAGATAGAGAGAGAGCGTACGCACGCTAGGGAACGAAAATTGTCGCGAATTTCACCGTGGATCTGCTCCATTTGAGGGTTCATTCGCAAGTCCAAGTTGTTATTGGCCATTGCCGGAGAAAAATTACAAAGTAGGATAAGGATGTGGGAGAAAAAAAGAAGAAAAAAAAAACAAGAAGAGAGAGAGGAGGGCTTTGGGTCGGTCGGCAGCCGGACCGGTGGGTAATTCAGGCGAACCAATCGGAGCCCTCGCAATTGTGGTCGGCAATGTAATTAATTAAGCCAGCGATTGCCCCTTTTGGCGTTGACCCATCTTCAAGCTGGAGGAAAGAAATTAGGGGACCCCAAAGAAAGAGCAATTATAACGCAGCTGGAATTTGAAATTTTAAACAGTAATTGAGAACCAAGGATGAGCGAATGAATGAATGAATCAATCAATCGCGGGGGGGTTTTGTGAGGGAGCGGTTTTAATCAAATCAGGGTATAATACCCAAAAAAAAATATTCAAATCAGGGTTCTCGTTTCTTGTTATCAGGAAAACCAAAAAGAAATACAGAATATTATCTTTTTCATGAAAAAGGGAAAGAGAAAAATATAAATATTTCCTTTTTTAAGGAGAAAAAAAAAAAGAAGTGGGTATTGTAGCGGAGAAAACAAAATTAAAGAAAGAAATGTCCTGTCTCTCTAGACAGACAGGCAGATAAAGAGAAAAATCAATAAATAAAATAAAAATAATAAGGGATTAGAAGGACACACATAATCATAATCTCTTCAATTCTTTATGCATTTTGGTAGGCTTATTAGCCTGTCATCATTTTGGTTTGGTAGTAGCTGTCATGTGTTGTTTCCTCACTTTCTACCCTCTTTTTTTTTTTTTTTCACTTTGTTTGCGTTTTCTTAATATATCTTTTATTTTCATTAGTTTTATTATTCGTCGCGGCGCGTTCTATTTGTAAGTTGATTAAGTGATTTCAATGTAATTAATTGTTGGATAGAGTAACTTAAATTATTATTGAGTATTGTGTTTATAAGTTCATCCAATGATATGCAAAAAAAAAACATAGATAGATAATATTGAATATAGAGTATCATTCAATATACTAAAACAACAGCCTTGAGGCAGGTATTCCTACCCATCTTTTCCCCTACTGTACACATGCAAATAATAACAAGCACATATATATATTTTGCAAGGTGTACTTTATGGGCATGTGTAATGCATTCTCTTTCTACACAACTTAATTTATTTTTTTTTCTTATTTTTCAGTTATACGCGCATTAAATCCTCCAATTCTCATCCCATTTTTTCTCACATATTTAATTTTAAACCGTTTTCTTTTTTGCTTATCATGTTTATTTTTATATTATTTTATTTTATGAGATTTTTTTTATAGCTATGGATTTTATTTGCATAAAATTGAATATGATTCGTCATCGAGATTTATAAATCCGAAGAATCAATTGGAGTAAAAAATTTGAATTGATTATCAATGAAATCTGGAGAATTAAGCGTCAAATATGGAAGATTTTAATAGATAACGATATTTGTTCGAATGAATAATAGTATTCTTATCGATGAATAATGATAATATTGTGGATGAATAATGGTGTTATAGTGACAAAGTATGGATAAATAAATTTAAACTTTTGAAATGAATATAGATACCTACAAAGATGAATAACGAGGCAAATGTTGATAATAATGATCTCATCCAAGATGAATAACAATAATAAAATGAAGAATATATATATATATATATATATTTGCATGATGAATATACATATTTATGGAATGAATGACGCATGTTTAAACGATGAATGACATATATTTATAAGATGAATAACACTATTTTACATTATTAATAACACTAGTCATTGTTTTTAATATATACGGTTTTGAATGATTCGCCGATACTCAACACCTATATGTTGATTATTTGATTTCAGCAACTCTGCCAAATATTTGATTCCCGGCCGATCGAGTTCATCTTGATGAACATTTCTTTGCCGTTGATCAAACAAAAAGAACATTATAATAAGCAAGGTTTCACATTCAATCAAAACTCTGTTAATCATCAATAACAATGCTATTGAAGATGAATAATCATTTTGAAAATGATGGATAAACATTAAAATTACATAAATCAAATCCAGTTGATAACAATCATGAACAGTACATATTACATGATGAATAACAACGTAACTGATGATGAATGACATATATTCGTGTGATGAATACACATATCTACGGAATGAATAACACATGTTCAAACGATGAATGACATATATTGACAGGATGAATAACACTATTTTACAGGATTAATGACACATATTTACAATTGTGTACAATCACATATTACATGATGAAGAACATCACTTGAAGTTTGTACCACAATTAGAATGAATAACTAAGCGAAAATAATGAATAACTAGAAATAGATTATGAATAAACATTTCACAGAAAAAGAAAATATGACTAAAACAACCCAAAATTGATGATAAATAATGATATCGAGATGATGAATAACCGCCAGAAATAGATAATGATGTCAAAATCTGATTTCTAAAATCAACCACAAATCGATGAACAAAACTAAAACATCGATGAACTAACATGTTTAAAGATGAATAATGATATTAAACTGATGAAAGCCTAGGTCCATTAATCTTTTCCAAAATCAACCACAGATCGATGAACAAAACTAAGAAATTGATGAACTAACATCATTAATCGATGATAAATGATGAATAAACATTTCACAGAAGAAAAAAACATGACTAAAACAACCACACATTGATGATGAATAATGATACCGAGATGATGAATAATGCCATGTCTATGAATATTTTCTGAAATCAACCATAAAGCGATGAACAAGACTAGAACATCGACGAACTAACATGTTTTAAAGATGAATAATGATATTAAACTGATGAAGTGTACCTAAATCTATTAATCTTTTCGAAAATCAACCACATATCGATCAACAAAACTAATCGACGGGAATAATCTCAAATCTTTGCCACCGGATAAAACACAAAACAGATCTATTAAACTGATGAACAATACCTAGATCTATTAATCTTTTCTAAAATTCACCGGACAAAACACAAAATAGATGAATAATCTCAAATCTTACCGTAATTCTCATATTCAGTAACGTATATTGTAATCAAACTCACGGGATTTGATGCACAATCGGATTTCATCTTCAAAAATACGCCGACGAGAGGTTTTGATGCCAAATCGCTGCAACGAACATTTTGTTTTTTAGATTTTTTAGTTTGAGACGTCTTTGGATTGGAATAGGAAGTTGGATGGATATGATTAATGATGACTGAAAATTAAGAGAGATATTAGGAAATTAAAAATTTGAATATTTTTTTTATCCTCTTTTTGGGCGCTTGAATTTCAAACTAGGTACACCTTGCAAGTCGTACACCATGCGCGTGGGTGTTGAGTGTTGATACATCAGCACCCATTGTCACGTTTTTTCAGATTACTTTTAATGAATGATTTCCCTCACTGCCCAAATAATCCGCCAAATGTTGTAGACCTTAATGAAACCAACTCCAAATTCTCCATTTCCCTCTATCAATCTCTTCCTTTCTCTTTGTCGGAACCCTAAAGAAAATGATTCAATCAATCTTTGATGTCGATGATGTTGTCCGATTTACTGTAACTCCACAACCACCTCGATCCCACCACCTCCCTAATCTCCGACATCATCTAATCTTCCTCCGACGCCACCTCTCCCACCTCCTTTCTGCCACTACTGCCGCCCTCCTCACCATCACCTCCGCCTCTCCTACATCACGCCTCTTACCCCCCTCCCCCCCCAAGCAAATCCACCAATTCTAGTAGGAAGGTCCTAAATTACACAATCCCAATTCTCTCTTTCCTCCAATTACGCCGTCGTAGTGGTACTCTCTTGGATTGGCTGGTGAGCTCTACATTAGCTACTTTGAAAGTGTTTATTTTTGTTTTTCATTTCTTGAAAAATCAATTGTCTGTTGCTTGTGAACATTTGGAGATTTTCGTGGTCCAAAATACCAAGACAGATTGAGATGAATTAAATATCTGTCTATCATAGATTAATGCGTGCAGAAAATCTGTTATCTCCATCAGAGGTGTAATCATGGTTAACCAATGGTGGAACATTCAGGGACAGCAGAGATAGTTGATTCTACAGAAGTGGCCGCTTTTGCTACGGTACTCGAGAAGCCGTGCATCTGAAGTCGCAGGTTAGATCTTTTCTTCTGTGCTCCCAAATGTTTTCCCAAATATGTTCTGAGTGTTTCTTTGTTTTTATCTTCTTTTAGTCTGATTTTGTTTAAAAAAAAAATTGGTTTATATTTGGACATCTACAAAAGCTTCTGTAATCTGAATGCTTGGGAGGCTGCAGCTTTAAATCTGTAACTTTCGATCTGTTGCTAAATAATCTGTTAGAAATTTCTCTCACTCTCTCTCTTTTGTGCTATCTTCTTATGATTCAATTTTGGTATTGAAATGAACTTATATTCAGGTTTTGATGCATTAATAACCTTTTTCGAACATTTAACATGGACTTATATTCAAGTTTTGCTGCATCAATCACTTGTTTGATCTCACCGTCTCCGAACATATTCAGTTTACAATCTTAGATTACCTTTATGTTTTCATCTCTAGATGCATGCTGGCAAATTAACTACTGGAGGACAAGTAATATTTTTATGGGTCAAGTTGATGATCATATTATTTGTTAGCCCCTCGTTTTCTGAAGGTGCTAGCTTGACCGAGGGAAGCTAGCTGGTGCACGGGAATGTGCGGGACTTGGTGCAACGGTCCGGGAAGCTTGCTGGTTTTGCGGGAAAATCCAAGCGGGGCACGAGGTGTGCCGGTTGCACGAAGGAGGGATGAAATGCAGTGGTTTCACTGTAGGGACTTAGTGAATTCCCAAGGTACGAGTCCCTTAATCTTGTTGGTTTATACTTATGCTTTATAGCATGTGAGCAGGCCGGAGGTTGGCTTGCCGGCACACGGGTTGTGTGGGTTTTTGTGGGAACGGTGTGCGAGAAATGTCGGGTAACCGGTGGACACTTGTGCATGGGCGTCGGCATCAGCGGATGAT